TTTTGTCTATTCTCCTTTAGCTCATAAAAAATAACATGAAATACTTAATGGTTCTGATTTAACCCTGACCACACATGCAAGACTGGCAAATTTTTTTTTGAAAACTTGTACCTAATTTTTTTCTATACATTTTGTTAAGAGACTCTGTCTTGGTTCCTATTTGATTAGAAAAAAGTGATAACTGTCGAGTACCTGTTTAACATTTTTCCTTTATAATGCCTTGTAATGTTTCCACTATATTTACTAAGGTTTTCAGAATATTTAAAAAGGAACTTGAAACAGAAGGCCAATAAATTGGGGGCGTATTAAATGCTTTTGGGGTTACATAATGTATTTTCTATCCAAATGCTATTCAGCAATACAGAATTTCAAAAGGAGGAGAACCTATAGGCTAAGGGAAGGCTATGGGGAGAAATGGAAGAAGAACCGTTGGCTTTGGGGATAGAGATAAAAGTTGGACATGTTAAGAAATTAAAATAAAATTAATAACGTTAAATAAAATAATTCTTTTAAAATAATAACAGGGACCAGTAGATGGTGTAGTGGTTATGTCTCTGGATTCCCACGTAGTCGAGCACAGTCAAGTCCTAGACTGCTCATAAGAGAGGACTATTTCATCTTAGACATACTCTCCATGTCCCGAATAAGGAAGGGCAAAGGGCTCTCTGCTAGTAATGTTTTGGTATTTTCCCCCTGGAAGGATGCCTTTTACCAGAGATCTCCATGTATATGGCATTGGCCAGACTTTATTATTGGAACACCAGCTGCAAGGGAGGCTACGAGATCCAGGAGTTAGCTTTTCTGCCCATCAGGGAAACTCTCAATTGTAATTTCTGGTAAACTATTTGAGCCATTTGAGGGGGTATTTGGTATTAGTGGGAGGGTGAATAAGAAAATTCTTAGTCTCTAAGGGTTTTGAAAACAAATCTCTTCATGTCATAATTTGATCAGCATAATTATAAAACCATTTAGATCTTTTGTTGGAAGGCAAAGTTAAATAATCAACATGATAAAGCCCACTTAGGCTTATATTTGTTTTCATCATCTTGTGAAATGTAACTAGATTGCACATTCTTTACTCTTGGCATTCTGAATTTTCTTAGCCAAGTTGTTAAAACAGTGTAAAATTTTTAAGCTAATTTTTATTTTGTTCATCTGTTCACCTAGTACAACCTTTCTGCTGTGAGGACAGAATTCTGGCTCTGACAGGCGTCTTCTTTGGAGACCCTCCTTCAAGAGCCCTGCTGCCTATAAAAGATAGGTAAGCCTTACTCTCCCGAGATTTTTTTTTTCCTTTGCCTTCCCTCAAAAAAGTGTTTGTGTCATTCTTCTGATTCTGTACCTTTATGGTTATTTGACACATGGAAAATCCCCTTCAATTTTTTGAAATATTGCTAATCTTCCAAAAATTCAGAATGTAAGTACATTGTGCTATCTGAAATTAATGGTAGCGGTCAATTTTTGTCTATTCTCCTTTAGCTCATAAAAAATAACATGAAATACTTAATGGTTCTGATTTAACCCTGACCACACATGCAAGACTGGCAAATTTTTTTTTGAAAACTTGTACCTAATTTTTTTCTATACATTTTGTTAAGAGACTCTGTCTTGGTTCCTATTTGATTAGAAAAAAGTGATAACTGTCGAGTACCTGTTTAACATTTTTCCTTTATAATGCCTTGTAATGTTTCCACTATATTTACTAAGGTTTTCAGAATATTTAAAAAGGAACTTGAAACAGAAGGCCAATAAATTGGGGGCGTATTAAATGCTTTTGGGGTTACATAATGTATTTTCTATCCAAATGCTATTCAGCAATACAGAATTTCAAAAGGAGGAGAACCTATAGGCTAAGGGAAGGCTATGGGGAGAAATGGAAGAAGAACCGTTGGCTTTGGGGATAGAGATAAAAGTTGGACATGTTAAGAAGATTGGGAGCAGGGAGGGCAGGGTGTCTCTGATACTTACTTGTCTGTGGTAGGGTCGTCTGTCCAGAAGGCAGGCACTGAGCGATGAAGCTAGAGGTTGAAGGCAAACTAGAAACCTGTCAGGTTGGGCATTTCTGCATGACTAGTAAATACAACCTTTGGGGGTAGAGTCATTCTCATTCATTTAATCCCAGCCCCAGGGGCTTCAAAAACACACTGGGTGTGCCAAAATCCAGACAGGTTGGGGAAATTGGGCAGGGGAGGGGGGTCATGGCATGAACATGCTCTGTTGGGAGATTCTCTCTCTGGTGAGTGCACTCTTCCTGTAACAACGGGTACGGGGAGACCAAGGCACCAAATCCAAATCCAAATCCAGCCTGCATCTTGTTTTATAGCCCAAAAGCCAAGAATAATTTTTCCTTTTTAAATATATGATACAAAAAAAAAATGGAGAATATGCAATCTGTATTGCATATTTTGTAGCCAAAAAAGCTGAAAATACTATCTGGTACTTTGTAGAAAAAGCTTGGCAATAGATCTAACCTGTATTGCTGCTGAGTCAGCTGTGAGGCTTCAAAGTATACACGTATAGCTGTGTGAGCCCACCCTTGATTTACCTAATGGTCCATTTTCCCCTCTTACACCCTATACAGGTAAATTTATCAGAAGACAGTGATTTTAAAAATCAAGTTTGGGGGGCCAGCAGATGGTGTGGTGGATAAGGCGCTGGACTCCCACATGACTGACTGCTGTTAAGAGCTCTTGGACTCAGCGCCAGGCATGTGTGCATATGTGTCCACTCCCCAAAAAAAAATCCTCAGAGGAGAATGGAGGAGAAGGGCTTACGGTGTGGCCATCCTCCCTGGGGGATGATTTCTCACTTTCTATCTCTTTGGTGGAACGAATGCACCCTGTAAGCAAAAATCTCTCAAAAAGAAAAACCAAGTTTGGGACCAGCTCCATGGACCAGCCTGATGTTAAAGGAGCTAGATGCCACATGGCCAACTACACGATTCAAATCCCTGACCGTGGCAGTTTGATAAAACATGCCAGGCTCGTGCATGTAGGCCCCCAGTTCCAACAGGCTGTGGAAATAAAGAAGAGACTGAAACATAACCACATCCCTCTGAGGGGTGCTTTTACTTTCTCCCTGTCCATCTCTGGGAAGCATACATGCACTCTGGAAAACTTTTTAAAGTAAAGTTTGGCTAACTGCTATGAACAGAAAACACCTTTCATCTTAGCAAGAAGGATGGTTTTAATGAATTAAAACCTTAGGATTGGGAAAGATCTTTAAAGGTTATCTAGCCCCCAAATACCTGTTCTCACTTCAGTTTTCCAAATTATTACATAGCAAGTATGTGGTACTGCTAGTTCTAAGTTCTGTGCTGGAGATAAGGAAATAAAGACCACTTGTCGTCTTAAGCAGTTTCATTGGTAGGAGGAGAGAGGTCAAAGATTAGGAGGGAAAAATTCATAGTAGAATATAATTTAAGAGCAAAAAAGGAGGTAAGGGGACCAGTAGATAGCATAATGGCTATGTCGGACTCCCATGTATGTAGTTGACTGTGGTTCAAGTCCCGGACCCTGTGGCTTAAACTCACGTGCCCAAAAGAGGAGAATGGAGGAGCAGGGATTGCGGCGTGGCCAGTACCCCTGGGGGGATGATTTCTCACTTTCTGTCTGTCTGGCATAGCAAAAACCTCTCCAAAAAAGAAAAAAAGAGAGAGAGGGAGGTAAGAACAATGTGTAGAATCTCACAAGACAAGTTACCTCTTTCTAGAGGAATGGGGAGCCAAGTCCATGAACCAGACAGGGATCCTGCACAGGAGGAGGAACAGTTTGATCTGAGCCTGGAAGGATAAAAAGGAGACATTGACAAGGCAGAAGAAAGGGATTTGGAGAAACCTGTAGGTTGGATGGGTAGGGTGTGTGCTCCCCATAGAGAAAGGGAGGGAAAGTGAGCAGTCACTCTCCAGGGGTGATGGTTTTGCCACCATTCCTTCTCCATTCTCTTGGGCTTGGGGCACATATGTACATGTGCCTGATGAGTTTCTCAAACCATTACATCTAGACCTAGGTACACCAAGCACATGCCACTCCCATGATCTGGGTCTGGGTGGGTGGTCGTGGTGTAAGGACTGGGTTTCTCTCTCTCTTTTGGAAGAAAAGGAGATTTTCAAAGATAACATAGGACAGGGCCTGCCCCATAGTCTAGTGGTTAAGGGAGCCAAATCCTACAAGACAACCATGGTTTGAATCCCAGCTCCAGGGACTTCAAAAATATGTTGGTTGTGTGTGCATGCATGCCCAGAGATCTTGATGGTTGGAGAGATGAAGGAGCTGCAGCGTGATCGTGCCTCATTGAGGTGTGCTTTCTCGCTCTCAAGTACACACAGCTTTTGGCAATTAAAGGATTAAGTGGGACATATAAAATTTTCTGTCCCTGGAGCTGGCAGGTGGTGTGGTGGTTAAAAGGCATGGGGACTCTCATGTGATCTGACTGCAGTTTGAGTCCCAGACCTGGTGGCTTGCTTTCTCACTTTCCCTTTCTCTCTCTCTCATCAAATTTAAAAAACAATAATAAGTGGAATTAAATAAATTCTTTTAAAGATGTTTTCTGTCCCTAATGTAGAGTAATTGGGCATCTATTATTTTTGATAGACTTTTTGTAAGTTTATGTCTTTCATGAGAGACAGGGGAAACCCCAGTAGTCTTGCCACTCTGCAGTTCTTCCAGCCAGCCAGGGTCACAGGTGCTCAGGTCAGCTCAGAACCCAAGTGTCCTGCATCTCTGGGTTCTGTGACCTCCCCACGTGTCTCCGGCACGTGCAGTGGCGCCTTGCCCCTGTGCCACAGCTGTAATTGACTCGCGATTTATCATGCTTAGGGGTGTGTTAGGATAAAATCTATTCAGTATAGTAGTTATATCTCAAAAATTGCTACTTAGAATAATTTGTGATGGGTGATCTTGGATAGATTAATTCTCCACAGTACTGCTGACGGGCACAGGGGAGGCAGAGGCACAGCAGTAATCTCATCAATGTGCACGCTTTGCTTTCTTTTCTAACAGCCGCCAAAAAAGACATCTAAAAGAGAAAAACCCAAACAGAAAGCTACTCCTAAAAGTAAAAAATCCGTAAAAAGTGCTAACGTTAAGAAAGCTGATAGCAGTACCACCAAGAAGAATCAGAACAGTTCTAAAAAAGGTACAGTAGAAATGGCATGACTGGCGACTTTACAGATGAAACATGTATTTGTGTAGAGCATTTCAGTGTCTCTAGATACAGGTAAACTGCCAAGAATGGGAGGATAGTAGAGGGCCGGGTTTTTTAAACTTTTCAAAACAGATGAAATTTTCAGTCCGTGTTCTTAGAGATAACTTACAGACCGTTGATTATTTCTTTGTATTTAGTACCCCATAGAGAATCTGATGAAGCTTATAAAATTCCTCACAACCTGTCTTAAATACTAATTTGACTGTGTAAAAGAAATTTTATTCTCATTTAATAAAATATTTTACTTTTAGAAAGTGAGTCCGAGGATAGTTCAGATGATGAGCCTTTAATTAAAAAGTTGAAGAAACCACCTACAGATGAAGAGTTAAAGGAAACAGTAAAGAAATTATTGGCCGATGCTAACCTAGAGGAAGTCACAATGAAGCAGATTTGCAAAAAGGTAACTACAATTTTGCTTTTACTTGGAAAAATACTTTGATCCATTCCTGAATTTGAAGCTAGGTCTTTATGTGTGTTAATTCATTGAATACACTTATTGAACTCCTATATGCCAAGCACTTTTGCCAAGCACTTTTTCAGGTGCTGGATTTTCCTACATTAAAAACTAGTCAAAGTCTGTCCTGGGCCATTTCCATGGCCTGCTGGTTAAGACAGCTGGATCCCACGTGGCTCACCTCATGGTTCAAAGTCCTGCACTTGGCAGCTTGAATCTGTGCAGTTGGCAAATTGCAGCCTAATCCATCCCATCACCTTTTTGTTTTTTGTATTCTTTCTTTCTTCAGTGAAAGAGAAAGACAACATCTCCAATAAGATCCTGACTCCACGACCCACCCCCGCCTTCAGCCAGCCCTGTATCATGGGCACATGTGTGCCTCGCAACTCAGTCTCTGGACTTAAAACAGGAGCCTTCCCCTGTGGGGCTGCCTTAACAGAATGTCATGTTTCACCACTGCACTGTCCAGCCTCCACCTGGTCTTACAAACAAAGTTCTATTGTAATAGAGACACACCTACTCGCTTCAGTTTGGTCTCTGGTAGCTTTCACACTACAGTGGCATAACAGTACTTGTGACAGAAACCATCACTGGCAAAGCTAAAACTATTTATTGTCTGGTCCTTTAGAAAAAGATGCCTACCCTAAAAAACATTAGGACTGAAGTCAGCAGGGGGCTTAAAGACTTTTGGGTGTCATCTAGTTAGGACCTGAAGTCAGGCAACGGTGACTAAAAAAACCTGAACGCTGGCAGGAGAGAGAAATGTAGTGCATCGGATTTCAGGAGTAGAGGACTCCTAGACCACCTAGATTTTGGTGACTGAACTTGGGGGAGGCCAGTTTAGCAATGGACCAGAGGCTGAAGTTCACTCATGTACAGGTTGTCAGATTATGTGTAGAATGCTGGATGATATAACAGAAGACCTGCCAAAATAAAGAACTGGTCCACTTAACTAAGATCTGTCTAGATGTTTTCCTCACCCATGTTTGTTAATTCAGCCCATATTCCCATTTTATAAAACACTGAGAATGTTTTTGCCCTGTATACAGTGTTACAAAACCTCTCAAACTGCAATGAAATTCTGTATGGTGGATCACAGTTCCAGTAGAATGGTCAAGCAGCTATTCGTTCACTGCATAATTTTCCTTTTTTTCCTAAGAAAATATTGGATTTGTTTTTTGTTTGTTTGTTTGTTTAAGTTTTTGCCATCGGGCACATGTGTTCTCCAGAGAGAGAGACAGGGAAAGTGAGAAATCACCCGCCAGGGTCAGGAGAAATGGCCATACCACGATCCCTTCTCCATTCTCCTCAGGATTTGGGGCATTCACACACACAGGCCCAGCATGATTTTTAAGCCACCAGGTCTGGGACTTGAACCATGGTCGGCCATGTGGAAATCCAGTACCTTAACCATTACACCATCTGCTGGCCCCTATTACTGAATTTTAAAATCCGCTTTTAGCATTGTTTTCCTTTTCACTATAGGTATATGAAAATTATCCTGCTTACGATTTAACTGAAAGAAAAGAGTTCATAAAAACAACCGTTAAAGAGGTAAATATTTCAGTCTCTTCCAAATTTTGGACATACAAAAGGAATTATAGATGTTGAAAAACATATCGTTTTCAAAATACTTACGTCACTAAATAACACATTTGGTTTTCACATTTCAAAATAGATGGAAAAATGTGTTTTCTGATTCCTAGTTGCGAGCTTAGTAATAAAATGTGAACAGTTAGTGACAAGCCCAAGGCTCTCGGTGTGCATGGAGGTTACCTAGGTATCAGAGTTCTCATACAACCACTGAGGGCAGCTTCCTATGCTATCAGAGAGGAGAATCCATAGTGCCTGGGTTGTGTGCTCCCAGCTAATTTCCCAAGGTCACAGAGATAAAGTAGATGTGAAAACAGAAGTAGGTTTTATGACGTGTACTTAACATAACACATTGGTTACGGCAAAATGTTTCTCTTTCATTACAGCTCATTTCTTGAGACAGAGGACAGAGACTGAGGACTTGTTCCCATAGATTTGAAGATCTGATTTATACCATTATACCAGCAAAGAGAGAATGTATTTTCTTTTCTAAATCCTCGTTAAGCATCGTGTTGGTAGACCTCCTTACTGCTGACCCTTTTATCTTGAGTGTTACACAAATTTGAGTTTGTTATTTAAAATTGCATTTCTGTGCAGTTTTTAGTTTAAACTCTTGCATGGCAGTACCTGTCCCTTGCTTTATAGTTGTATTTTGTACATTTTGCATTTCTTTATATAAGGTCATAGACTGAACTGTTGTGGTTTTTAGTGCACTTAATAATAGCTTGCTTAAGACATACTTTTAATCAAGTAGAAAAACTATTGTGGCTAGCATTTATACATGCAGAGACTATTGCAGTATTTAGTATATGAAATATTTTGAATACACATCTGTCCTCTTGGTGGCAGTGTTCAGTATATTAGAAATACACAGGCTCCAGCTGTCCAGACAACTGAATTGGAACTTTTCTCTTGCATGTATATATGTGTCAAATTGTCAGCATGACAAAAGTGACAGATACTATTTTTGTATTTTTAAAAACCAATTTGTTGTATATAAAGTTTTTTATTTGTCTTGTGCAAATCACTTTTTAAACTCACACAGGCAGGTGTGGGATGTCAAATGTCAGTGTTCAGCCAGGTGGGATGATGGAGCAGAGAAAGGCAGAGTCCGGTGACGGGACACAGGAGCAGTTCCCTGCTCCGCCTTGAGCGTGTCATTAGTGTGTATGTAATGTTAGTGTTAACTCTGCAGGTAAAGTGTCTACGGAGGAATTTTATATTAAGGACAGACCAACACATCAAAGCTTCAAAACCTTTGGGAAAGGGTGGGATTGAGTACAAGCACATTTGGGTTATCATAATGAACTGATTTTTATTAAATGCCTTTGTCCATATGAAATGGGGATATTAATACGAAACCTGCCACCTTCATAATTGGATAAAACCACCAGGTATGATGCCAGCAGATTACATGTAGGCAATAGTGGGTTTCCTTCACAATGTGTTTCTCAAAAGCATTCATAGAAATTTCAGCATTTAAAAAACGTATTATGGAATCAGGCTGTTGTGTTTTAAATTTTGGCCAATCAAGGTGATCAACTTATGGACCACTCCCAGAGAAGATTAATTTTGTCTTTTAAACTGACTGCAATCAGTTCATTATATAATATGCTCTGACTTTTAAAAGAAAACATGCGGCTTATGGCAGAATTAGACTCTTGGTACCAATTGAATGCTTAAAACTATCTGCATCATAGAACAGAAGCATAAACATGATATATATTAAATGGCAGTTTTCACGGGTTTGACTTATTTCTTGATATAAGACACTTAGGGAAAAGTCCACTTAATACTTTTGAAGGGAATAAGCAACTAAATGAGAACTGACAATTGGCCTTTGATTTAAAATGTCTAATTTGTTCTTATAAACCTTGTCAATAAAAATAGTATAAACCAGTGGTATCTTAAGTTTCTTGTGTTTGATATCTTAATTTTTTAGAGGTTTACATTTTAGCCCCTTATAGGTAAGGATTTCAGAACAGATTTTTTTTAAAAGATTTTTTTGCCATAGGGCATATGCACTTGCCAGAGAGAGGGAAGTGAGAAAATCATCCTGTGGGGAAGGTCATGACCCAGCCCTGTGTCCTTTCTCCTCTTGGGATCTGGGGTACACATGTACACACACCCAGTGTGTTTCTCAGGCCATTGGGTCTAGGAAGTAAATGCAAGGAGTCTGCCCTGTGGGATCCAGCACTCTAACCACATCACCTGCTGGTCCAGAACAGGATTTTTAAATGTTAGTCCCATGGCCTGTATAGTCCAGTGTACTCGTCAGTGACAAGTGACCATTTCTTTTTTGTTATAGGGCACGTGCACTCGCTGGAGAGACAGAAAGCAAGAAATCACTCCCCAGGGGGGATGGCTACCCTACAATCCCTTCTCCTTTCTCCTCTTGGGATCTTGGGCACACAAGTACACATGCTCTGCGTGAGTTTTAAGTTGCTGGGTCCAGGATTCAAACAGCGGTCAACTACGTGGGAGCCCAGCGACACAACCATTACGCCATCTGCTGGTCCCACGTGACCATTTCTTAAGTGATTTCACAACATTATCTTTAAGGTTAACAGTTACTACTTACTACAAGGGATAAATAGCAATTCCCACAACCTAAAAAGTATGAGGCATGTTTGACAGTGAAAGGCTAGAGCTGGCATGTGTGAAAGTTCTTGGTGATGGTACACCCATTTAAAATAAGTGTATTCATCACTACAGCACACAAACTGTATTTGAAAAACAAGTCTGGTTTTATTAAGCAATTGTACAGGACCAACTATTCATAATCTGCAGTTAAGACACCATCAATTTGTGTATTCACTGCTACTCAGGTAAAAAACAAAATCTTCAGATAACATTGAAAAACATACTCAAAATAACTCAAGAAAAAGTACCTGTGGTTAAGGTCCCTAAAAATAAAAATGTCAAATTAAGCATGTCCCTCGAAATAGGATTTTTTTTTTCTTAAATATACATTTACCATATATTTTCCTACTTGTAGCACAGTACAAGTTTAAGTGCCAAGAAACTAAAGTAATAATTTACTGTGAACCATTTCAAACTTAACATATTACGTATTTATCATTCAACACATGCTATTTAAACATTTTAATACAACACTTTGAAACAATACTTCCCACTCCATACCAATGAATCTCAACAAATAACCTAGACCTTAATGTTTTCTTATGATAACTTTGAAACATACCGCTATTGGCTTTCTCCTGTTATAGTATACTGTGATGGGGAGGTCTTTAAGCACACCGTAGATAGAATATTTACTTTTTACGTACAAGCTGACTTTTAAATTTCAAAAATACCTGCTGTTTTGAAAAGTGGCCAAATTTTTAGTCCCTTTTTAAAGCAGACCGATAAATGAAAAAGCTCTTCAAAGACTAAAAGCATCTCTAATCTGTAAACTGAAGTTTCTTAGCAAAATAGGTATCCTAAAGACCCTGAAACCAGTAAGTAATTTAAAATGATATACTATTTTTTGTTATAGGTGAAAAAAGGAAAAAGCGTTTGCCACATTCTCAGGCTTTTAGGATACGGCTTATAAAATGTAAGATTTACCAGGACAGCACACGTTTTTCTGTTTTCCAGCGGACCTGCCTATGGACTACAATAAACAATTATGAACAATATTTTTTTAGAGACTGAATCAATTATTTTAAAAAGTGAGGAAAGGCTTTTATTATTCTGGCAAGATCTTCTTGCTAATGGTTGCTGAAATTAAGAGTGACCCATCCAATTCGGCTCAAGAAAAAGTCTGTATTCTGTGTCTATAGTGCAAAGACCACGCCATCTGTACCCATTCTCAATGTCAGAATACCTACACCAATAATGGGGTTGGAAATGTTTCTGTTCTGCCAGTGATCACACTAATGTAAAGTACTTTATCACAAAAGATACCTGAATTTTTCTTTTAATATCCAGTGGGAAGAAATATGTTAAATATAATCTGGAAGCTTCCGTTTAATTGGAGAGTTTGTGCTGTATCAAAAAAGAAAACATCCTATCTAAATTTTAAGTAAAAGCTCCGTATTGGAGCTACATAAAAATATTAAGGCTCATTGGTAAAGATATTGATAAATTGTCACAGAAGGAAAACATGGCTTTTATCTGGTTTTCAAATTCCTGTCTGATTTGGTTTCTCACTATGAAAATTGGCAAGCCAAACAAAATGGCAGCTCTGCTGGGGGACCTCCCACCCCAGTAGAAACCCCCAGGTACCTGTTCAAGGTTAATTCTGCCTTACTCTGAAATCAGACTTTCAGCACAAGTTGGAAAATGCCATTAAATAAGTGTTTTTTAAGGATTTTGAAGGTCAGCATTTTCAGAGTAGTGAGCTGGGTGTACATAATATTTTTACTTTACTTTTGCTTTCCAGAGGTTTTTCTCCCCCTGACAAGACTGGCTTAACCCATGTTTCAGACTTTCCCACTCGGGGTACAGAAGAAAGGGGTCCACACAAACTGCATTTAAAATGCTGCAATCTTACTTGCTTCTCGAACACCACTCAAATATGCCCCTGTAACAGTTTGTGGAAAATGCCTGTTGGTTGCCTGTAAGAAAAGTAATTGCATAATTAGAGCTCATGCATAAAGAATGCAGACCGAGAGAAGGTAAAGTTCATCTTTCTCGGGCCTTCTGGAAATAAGAGCAACGAGGACTGGTGCCACTCCTGGGAGCTCACTGTGACTACCCCCCTTCAGAGCTGTCAATCAGCCCTCTACCTCCAGAGGTCCTGCAGTCTGGGATTCAACCACGTGGGGGTCAAAAACAGACGGGCTGGATGGTAAAGTGGTCAACATACAGAGACTTACATGAGTACCAGGGCACAGGTGTGTGCCTGTGATCTGGGCTGGGCGGAGACGGTGCTGTCGAGACCCTGAGGGGGATGCTACATCAACCCTCAATCACCTGACTCCGAATTTTAAGAAATACATGAAGACCTGCAGTTAGCTGAATGTGGGATGCAATGCAAACCCCCCAAACAGAAAGGGCCAACTCCTAGGTGACATTCATTAAAACAGTGAGTGAGTAGCCAGGTACTGGAGTTATGAAACAAGTCTTGAGCTGACAGTGGTAAGCAAAACAAGTACAAAAAAGAATCCCAATTTATCTTCCTGTGCTTCAGTCCCTATTAGGTGAGTAGAACAAAAACTAGACCAGGAACCTGAGGCCAAAGAAGGCAGCTATTGGATTGGAAGGAAGGGCGGTCAGTGAGTGATAGCTCATTTCCACGGGTGGTGACAGTGAAGGGGGATAAGAAACTAGGCTGTTAAGTAATACTGGCAAGGGGCCATCATATGGCATGGTGATTAAGGCCCGAGACTCCCACATGGCTGAGTGCATTCAGTCCTGGACCTGGCGGCTTTTCTCACTTTCTGGTGAGTGTGCGTACCATACAGCAAATTTAAAATAATAAGTAAAATTAAATAAATAATGCTTTTAATAAGAAGTAATAGTGACAAAGTCTGGGACGTGGCTATGGGAAGAGGTAGTGAAGTGGCGTTCACGTGTAGTCTCAAAGTATAACACAGTGTGACCATGGAGAGTGGTGACAAACTTTACGTTAGGGGTGCTAACAAGCCAGCCAAGCCACTCCGAAGAAGTCCTAATAACATCTCAGCCACTTGCACAAAGAGCCACAGAGGCAGAAGCTGATATGGGAAAAAAACAGTTTACTGAAAGCACCATGAAGAGCAATTCAGTCCCTTGCCAGGCTCCCCATTCTACTGCTGCAATTCAAGAGTTCCAAAAGATGGAACAGGAGATCTAGAACTAAATGGGAGAAAATGAGGAGTAAGGACATTCTAGAATTGAAGGATGTAAGTTTCTAGACTACAGGGGTAAAAAAAAAGGCACAGAAGGATCAGAACAGCAGAACACTTTTCAACAGAAATCAAAAAGGAAGAGAGGGATTTTGGAAATGAAGGCCTAACACTGAAGAATGATTAAAATAACAGACTCCGAGAGAGCACTGCTATACCTCCCTGTGGACAGGAGTCAGGGAAGAGAACTTGGCAAGAAGGGGCTTCAAAAGCCAGAGCTAAGTGGCCAGCTCAGAGACTACTACAAATGAGAGGCTACCGGGTAGGGAGAGATTTGGAATGGTACCAAAGATTAACCTAATGACCAAAAGAGCCATTAGGACCAGCAAGAAAACAAAGCCTATATGAAAGCAATCAATGGCTGCCTCTTTAGCTTAGTAATAAAAAAGGGTATTTACGTGGCCAAATAACACACTGATACCAACTTAAAAGTGTAGAGCCTTGAGGCCGGCAGGTGGCATAGTGGTTAAGAGCGCTGGATTCCCACATGACCGACCACGGTTGAGTTCGGGACCTGGAGGCTTGTTTTCTTGCTTTCCCTTTCTCTCTCTGGTCAAAATTTAAAAATGATCATAGCAACAAATGGAATTAAATAAATAAATATATTTTTTAAAGTGTAGAGCCTCATTGAGAAGTGTTACAAGAGTAAGCAGGAAATCAGTATCAATGTTTAATTGAAGAACAGCAACACAAGGGGCTGGGTCCATGGCCTAGTGGTTGATCCCCACATGGCCAACTGTGGTTCAGTCTGGCCCCGCAGCTTACAAAACATGCCAGGTGTGTGTGCATGCATGCCCAAAATCCAGACAGGATGGAGAAATGGAGAAGGGACTGTGATGTGTCTACACTCACATCACGGAGTGTCTGTCCCACTATTTCTCTCTGGCAAAACACACATGCCCTCTAGCAGTTAAAAACAAAGAAACAAACAAGACAGCAATATAAATGTTACAAAATATAAAAGTCTGGAAGAGGGGCTGGCAGGTGGCGTGGAGGTTAAGGCATTGGACTCCCACATGGTCAACGATGGTTCAAGTCCTAGACCTGGCAGCTTGCGTTCTCTTTGTGGTCAAATTGGAAAATGATAATAAATAAAATAAAATAAATCTTAAAAAAAAAAAAAGGAAGTCCAGAAAAAAACAGCTGGAAGGATTAAAAATGGCTGCCTCTGGGAGTATGTGAAGGGTGCTGAGAAAGCTGCTTCCTTCTCTCTCTCTCTCTTTTTTCTTTTAAGCAAAAGGAAAAGGTAGTTTATTAAATCAAAGCAAAAGTACACTCCTGAGAGGCAGGAGTGTGCCTGAGCAGAGTGGCTCAGAGGATGAAGGCTGCTGCTTGACTTAAGACGTGGCCGTTTTTGACTTTTAGCACTTACCACTTTTAACTAACAGAAAGTAACGGAAATAAAAGCCTGGTTTGGAACCAAGATAAATACCTCGCCAGCAAAAAAGACGGTGCCTTGAATCTCTTCAGCAATGATGTCATAGGCCTCACCACTTCCACCCGTCTTCACAAAACTGTACGCCATCTGGATCCACGGGTCTGTGCTCCACCGAGTGACGAAATACTTTGTGGGGTCTGGGACCTCCTGTGTCCAACAGAAAGGAATTATAAAATAGGACTGACAAGGGATTTGGGAGCTAGTGTGTGGCCTGGTGGTTAAGAGAGCCAGGTCCCACACAGCTGACCCTGTAGTTTGAGTCCCAGACCTGGCAGCTTCAAAAATGCTGGGATGCATGTGTGTGCACGTGTGCTCCAAATCCTGACAGGATGAAGAGATGGAGGAGAAAGGATGGTGGCACGGCCACACCCCATTCGAGGGTACTTTCTCTTTCTCTGGAGGGTGTACATGCCCTCCAGCAAAATTTTAAGAAAAAAGAAAAAAAAAAAAAAGAAAAATTCATGGAAAGTGTATATTATTAAAAAAATATGCACAGATTTCAAATTTTTGGCATTAGAATGAATTCATCTTTTAATTCCACTTTTTCCATACACTTTAAAAATAATAAAATGGGTCTAGCTTCATGGCCATGTTGCCCACTACACAGCTCCAATTCCAGCCCTAGCGGCTTGAAAAACATTGAGTGTACAAATTGTAACAGCAGGGGGAAATGGAGAAGGGACTGTGATGTGACCACACCCCCTGGGGAGTATTTTCTCCTCTGTTTCTCTGTCTCTCTCTGTCAAATGTATGTACCCTTTGACAAAAAAAAAAAAAAAAAAAAACATAAAAATGAATATAAAAATTAAAGGGAAGGGTGGGAACTTAGGATCTGGATGTGAAAAAAGAGAGACTACGTATGAGGGGTCCAAGAAACTTCTGTGCTGGCCTCATAGTGCAGTGGTTGAGGAAGCTGAATTCCACGTAGCTGACCATGGTTCAAATCCCAGTCCCAGTGGCTTGAAAAACACACCAGGAGGCATGTGTGTCTGTGTACCCAAAATCCTGACAGCAGAGAAAAATGGAGGAAAATGGATTGTGGTGTGACCACGCTCCAGTGAGGAAGAGGGGTGCTTTCTCGCTATATCTCTGATAAACCAATGTTCAAGTAACAAAAAAGAATTCTGGACATTGTTTCTCTTTAAAAGGACAGTTACAGTCAAAGCTTCTACAGTTTGTGTAAAAACAGGATCTACAGGAAATGCTGGGCCTTTTATATGCGTAGGAAGGAGTGAGTGTGTGTGTGTGTGTGTGTGTGTGTGTGTGTGTGTGCAAACCCGCAGAGTGAGGAGGTAACAGGAAAGAAGACAAGAGTGGAAAAGAAGGCACGGGTGGGCCAGCCTGTGGCAAGGTGGCTGGGGCAGATAGATCCCACATGGCTGACTCTGTAGTTCAAGCCCCAGACCTAGTGGCTTGAGAAACATGTCAGCCGTGTGTACAGGTGTGCCCAAAACCCCAAATGGAGAGAAGCAGGAACTGCGGCATGACCCCTGCCCACGGTGGTGGGGGGTGTTTCTCACTCTCCCCCTCACACTCTGCCTCTGTCCAGTGAGCGCATGTGCCCTCTGGCAACATTTTTTTAAAGAGGCGGCATGGGGCAGTGCTGTGGTCCATACTGCCTTCCCCCAAATCCCCATGGTGACATCCTGGGGCCCTCAGGCCTCAGAATGGGGCCATACTTGGAGATGAGGCCTCAACCACTCATTACATTCAAGTGGGGTCACCCGGCTGAGCCCTAATCCAGTCTCACTGATGTCCTTGTAAGACGAGATGGGGTTAGAGACACACGGAAGGCCGGTGAGGACACAGCTCAAGATGACCATCTACAAGCCAAGAAGAGCAGCCTCCGAAGAAACCAACACCGTGGACTTTCAGCCCCAGAACCGTGAGGAGACACATCTCGGTTGTTTAGACCCCCGAGTGTGTTATTTGGCCATGGCAGCCAGGCAGATCAATCCAGGTGCGTGAGTGGAAAGTGGGAGGCTGGAAGAACGCTGCGGCCACTGCCTTGATTCCCGCCACACCCAGTAGGGCTCGCTGGCTCTGGCCCCCCGCCACTCTGAGGACTGCAGTCAGTCGCCAGCAAGCATGCCCTTCCCTGTCCGAGGTGGGCTCTCTGACCTGCTCCTTGAACAGCTCCCGGAGGGTGGCCATGCACTGCTGCAGCACCTGCTTGTCCTCCAGGCTCTGGACGGACGCCACGGCCTCACCAGCAATCACCGACATCAACACGCTCTGCTTCTTCTGCGGATACAGAAGGAAAGCAGCTCACGCTCCTGCTGGGTGGAGTCTGAATGCCCGATTCCCGGTAGATACGGGCCTTCTCACCAACTGAACCTCAGCACTTCCAGCTTCCAACCCCCACTCCATTCTCCTCCCAACACATATTAGTCACGTGTCTATTGTTTCCTGGTGGAAAAACCTCTCCCAAAAGATATCAAACCAAAGGTCCCCCCGGCCCTTCACTTAAGTAAAAAATTTTCAGAAAAAAAAAAAAAGAAACAGGGCTAGCTGCATGGCCTAACGTGTAAGGGAGCCAGGGAGCCAGAGCCCACATGGCTGACTGTGGCTCAAATCCTGCCTCGGCGGCCTAGCAGACAGGCCAGGTGCCTCTGGACGTGTGCCCTAGTCACCAACAAGGCGGGGAAACAGAAGGGACTGTGGCGAGGCCACGCCTCCTGGGGAGTACTGTCTGTCTCTCTCTCTGGCAAGTGCTTGCATCCTCAGGCAATACACAAGAAAAAGCAGAAAAAAAACTGAGATGGGAAATCTGCAAATGAAATAACAGGAACAAAACTATCCAAATGTAATGAGATTCTGCGCTTGGCTCCCACGTGGGACTGGGACGTTTCTGGGAGGAGGTTTCGTGGAAGTGAGAGAAAGGAGAAGCGAGCTGCGGTTCCTCTGAGTGGCAGCAACAGGGCGGCAGGGAATGTGCCAGGGTGTGTCCTCTTCCTTCCTCCTCCACTGCTCCCCTACCAGCGCCAAGACCCTCCCTCCCTAGGACCGCTGGCATCCCACTCTCCCTCCTCACTAGAGAACCCGGGGATCAAGTTTCAAGTGCCACTCATTCACTCTGCTGTCACTAACTTAGCTAAGAAGGACCTCCATCCACTGGAAATGAGTTTCTACACAACCCATTCATGTCCCAGGGAGCAATGTCAGTCCTTCGAGCAACTATTACAAACCCTGGGGTTTATTCCCTGTAGGAAAATGTCCCAATCCAAGTGTCATCCCAGAATACAGGATGTGTACAGAGTCTCCACTGGGACCAGCAGATACTGTGGTCGTTAAAGCACTGGACTCCTGCATGGCCGACTGCTGTTCGAGTCTGGGCTCCAGCAGCTTGAGAACCACCCTGGGCACACACGCATGGATGCCCCAAATCCTGAGAGCAGAATGGAGAAGGGACTGCAGAGTGGCCATGCCCCCTGGAGGAGATCTTTCACTTTCCTCTCACTGTCTCTCTCTCTCTCTTCAGCAAGCACATGTATGTATGGCAAAAAAAGAAAAAAAGTCTCCACAACAGTCACTAGTTCTGAGCTTGATACATAGTTCCCGAACTGCGGGCTGAGCTTTAAGAAGGGTATTCGTGGGGGCCTGTCGGTGGCACAGCCGTTGAACACGAGGCTCTGTGAGGCTGACCCACATGGGAAGGCCGCGGGTTCACATGCAGAGCTCTGAGTAAACCGGCCATGATGTGGGGCTGGATCTGCACTGGGGGTGCTGTCTATCACTGCCTGTCTGTCTCTTTCATTCATGAAAGACTTTTTAAAAAAGGAGAAAAATGCAAACCTCACAAGTGATCTTACCTGAGGATCCATGTCATAGAACACAGCAAAAAGCCCGCGCTGGCTGGCGGTCGGAGGAACGTGACCGAAAAAGTCAGCCCCCTGCACTTTACTGTCCCAAAATCTGTAAGGAAATTGCAAGGCGATCTGGAAAGTGAGCAAGAGAGAGCTGGCTGAGTATGTCCTGTCCCAAAGTCACAGCCAAGTTCTAAGAAGCTCCTGTAGCTCTACTCTGAAACAGCAAGCCCACCTCCTCCCTCTCCCTTCCTCGCCTCTCTTCTCCCTCTGGGAGCGCCCTGCTCTGTAAGCCATCCGTTCCAAACCCCCACGGTTAATGCTGGACCCACTGACAGGCTAACCTGAAGCAGAAACTATTTCTGACTTCTGAGAACGTGGCCGCAAAGCCTCGGTCTGTACATTACATGCCAGAGGTCTGCCAGCATCTACTGCAACACAGGACGTGTCAGCAGCAGTGGCGCAGTGGTCACACATGCCCCACAGTGCTGAAGCCACAGGGAAGGCCTGCGTTTGTGCCCATGGCCTCCTTGTCACGCTGGGCAGGCAATGCACATGTCTGGGTCCTTGTTGGCTGAGGGTGGACTGTGGCATGAACGCCCTGTGGGGATGCCTCTGTGTGTGTGTGTGTCTCCCTGTTTCATGGAAGAAATAAGCTTAAAAAAATACATAAAGGTAGAGGAAGGAAACCACTGTTCGTGGAGGATGTCCAGGAAAGCCGAAAAAATAAAAACAATTGCTTATGTCAAATTCAAATTTTGAAGAGCAAGATTTGTTCTCCTAAAGTCAAAACTCACAGACCTCAGCCACCTCTCTTCCTTTCAATATATTCTTCTGTATTTGGGAGCGATTATTTAAATAAGGCAGTCTCTGAAGCTTATTTGGATTTGAAAATTGCCCGCTAGCTCCCTACCACAGCCACGCACTCTCCAGCCTGAGGCTGAATTAACGCCGTCACCTTCTCAATGATGCCAGCGCCCAGGCTGTTGATGGCCTTCGTCTTCTTCTCTGACAGCGGCGGGTTAAACTGGATGGCACCCTTCTGTAGTAAGGCCAGTGGGACAGTGACCAACACCTGTGAGAGGTCAGCGCAGTTAACGCACAGACAGCACTGTAATACCCAGGAAAACCCCAACACCCGAAGAACAGCCCTTGCTACCACCATGTGAGACTCACACCCGTGTGAGCAGGAGCGAGGCTGCCAGGGCAGCCTACAGGCCGCACGCCGCAGTGCCTGGCCAAGCGGAAGAGGCACACCGGAGGGGTGTGTTTAGTGTCCTGACGGAGCAACGAGTCCAGATACAAAGAGGCAGGATCCCCAACCCAAGAGGCAACAGCCCTAAACATGTATCACACTTGACACGTTCCAGCGTGTGGCAGGACCCGCCACACCAACCCCAGGACTGGGACAATGCTTAAAACTAATGCTTGCAGGTCAGCGATACGATTCGTAAGAGGTTAAAGTGCATCACAAACACTGCGCGTTACTCGGACTGTGGAAAGCCCTGTGACTTTTCTTTGATAAGAGAAAGCAGTTTATTACCGGGTCTCAACTGGATCTAAAGAAGCATTTTAAAAAGGCCAAAGATAGGGAACCAGCAGTTAGCGTAATGGCTATGTCGCTGGATTCCCAAGTAGTCGACCGCGGTTCGTGTCCCGGACCCAGTGGCTTAAAAAACTCACGCCGGGCGCGTGTGCGTGCGTGCCCAAGATCCCGAGAGGAGAATGGAGGAGAGGGGATAGCGGCGTGACCATCCCCCCTGGGGGGTGATTTCTCGCTTTCTGTCTCTATGTCTCTGTCTGTCTGGCGAGCGCACGCGCCCTACAGTGAAAATCTCTCAAAAAAAAAAAAAAAAAGGCCAAAGATAGAGATGCCAAGCTGACCTTCAGCAGGGACTCTCAGAGCCACATCACAGAACGAGGCCACTGGGGAGCTGCAGTCTCACCCTAAAACAGGCAACGTCTGGCCCTGGAACCACGTTAGCACTGCTACAACGAACAGCCATGTCCCCGGCTCCCAGTCCTGAATTGCCACAGAAAGAACCACCTGCACCAGCCCCACCCCTTCAGCCTCCCTTGTGGTCAACAACCAGACCCTGGGACCTCAAGTCGTCCCGCTGCAGGAGAACCAAACACCTTGCCCGCCATGCCTCTCAGCAGGGCTGCCCAGGGGAAGCAGAGCCACCCAACCCCTTCCCAAGTTCACGCAAGGGCACTGACTGGCTGGGCTTAACTATCCATTCAGAACCTCAGCCACAAGGGGGGCTGGGAAGGGTGTGTGTGCGTGCACGCATGTACACGCGGGATGTGTGTCTTTACTTTCCAACATCACACGGAGATAGGGTGGAATCAGGCTCAACACCAACTGCCATACTGGCCCTTCAGGTCCTGTTTTTGGCTTTGCCCTCAATTTCAAGATTACAGGAAGCTGTGTTCTTCCTGTGACTCTGTCACTATTTTCTGTCATATGAAAATTTAATAAATTATAAAGGAGTATATTCTCAAGAAGTTTACAATCTGCCTATGACCTGTTTTTATATATATATATATATATATATCAAAAAAAAACAAAAAAACATATAGCTGTTGATGATCTCAGCTGGATTCCATATGAGGGGATCTTCAAAAAGTTCACGGGAAATGCAGATTATGAAAAAACTATGCATGGATTTCAAAAAGTTTTGACACCAAAATAAACTATTTTATTTTTCTGTGAACTTTTTAAATTATCCTCATTTATGAGCTGCAAGCAAATAAAATTTAAATGTTTTCCTTTTTCGTAATTGCCATAGGGCCTGTACACTCACCAGAGAGACAGAGAAAAGAGGAGGAGGGAGGAAGTGAAAGCGCAGGGCGGTTCTGCTGCACTTCCTTCTCCATTTCTCCATTCTATAGGATTTGGGGCACATAGGCAAACAGGCCTGATGTTTTTCAAGCCACAGGGGCTGGGATTCAAAACACGGTTGGCCACGTGGGATTTATTTAGCTCCATTAACCTCTAGGCTACAGGGCCAGCCCTACGTGTTTTCTTAGGACAGAAAGGCTTTCAAAAGCACAAGAGCTTGAGTAACGAAAACAGGCAAATCCCACAGACACACCCAGCCAGCACCCAGCTCCCGGTGGGGCAGCCTAGGCCAAGCTAGGTCTGCCATGGTTTACAGACCTACCCTGTTGGGCTGGAAGGCCATCATTCACAAGTTTGGGGAAACTTCTAACACAAACTGCAAAGTGTGCTAGCTACAGAGACACAGAAAGGTTTGCTTTAGATACTGCAAGGTGCAGCCTGAAGCTGTGCCCTAATTACCCTGGGAGATTAGCAGAGACAGAAGGACGTGTCTGGCCAGGGTCGGGCCACGGGGCACAGGCAGGGAAGGAGGCTGAGCCACGAAACACCAGGGGCCAAGCTATCAGCCCAAAGGCAAGGGAAGCAGCAGGTGCAGTGGCACAGTGGTCACTCTTTTCAGAAAGCAGCAGCTGGGCCAGCCTCATGGCCTGGAGGTGAAGGGAGCCAGATCCTACATGGCCAATCACACTGTTTGAATCCTGGGCCCGGTGGCTTGAAAACAGAGGAGGCATATATCTGTGTGCACATGCACATGGGTGCACTGTGAGGCACCCCAAATCCCAACAGGATGGAGAAATGGAGAAGGGATTATGGTATGATAACACCCCATTGGAGGTGCTTTCTCCTGGTCTCTCTCTGGCAGGCACAGGCACCCTTGTGGTATTTAAAAACAATGTTTACCCTAGGGAGAACCTTGGACTTTTGGGGGTTAGAGACAAGAACAGTAGCCCAGTGGTTCCTGACCGAGGCTCCATGCTGCCACCACTTGGGAAGCTTTAAAACCATGATCAGGACCAGGCAAAGCAAATCTCCTTTCTAAGCCCCTCCCGGTGACTGTGATGTGCAGCCTAGACTGAAAGCCACTTCTAGTCCGAAGCCTCCCAGCCATCGGCAGTCAATGGCAGGTATTCTGAGGGTACTTCCCACCTGAGGGCATCCTCTAGACCGCATCCTTCCCTTGCCACATTCCCGGTTTTACGTAACTGAGGGGTAAAAGACACAGCTAGTCAAGGAGCCGACAACAGCTCATCAGTGCTATTTTTGATAATCACTTCAGACACAGGTACACTTTTGAGGTTTATTAAATCTTCTCTGCCTTAGGTAAGCAATGTTCTCCAATACCATAGAAATCCTGGTACAATTTCAGGTATTAGATCCGGAGTACCCTGCATTGTTCACCTGCTGAAGCTGCGTACGAAAAACTTAAGTTACATATAAAGTACTTCTATCAGTTTCCAGATGAAAACATAACTTTCTTAATCTCAAAAAGGGCTCCATGTTATCATGAGACCATGTACAATTAAAATAGATTTCTTTATGCAGGACTTTTCGGAGTCTTGAATGTCCTATGTAAATCTTAAAGCAGAGTATGGTACACACTACTTCCCAGACTGATTTGGCCACAGAATTTCTGTGCTTGTTCGACAGTCAGGACTTAGAGCCCACTCTGAGGAACAGTTTGGAATCCCATCTGCCATAAATCTGTGCAGTGTCAGATCAGTTCACTCAGCTCTGCTAAGTCACACATAATTAGACAGAGATACGTAACGTGTGTGAGATCCAGCAAGGCTCAGGTGACCACCGCGGGCACCTGGACCTCCTCCCCAGGGTCCTGCAGCCAGGAGCTCGGCCCAGGAACCACGCGCTTACCTTCTGCGCAGACCACCCTGTGCCGTCGGTGGTGGTGACCTGCACGTCATCCCCAGAATAATCGATACTCTGCACCTGCTCAGGAAAAACCACCAAGGGAAGAATGAGGGCTGGACTATGTCCTTAGAAAGGATCTCAGGTTCTTTCTTAATTCTCAGGTTCCATGAGTTTACATCTCCGAGGCTATGGGGATCACTCCCTGGCAGTCAGAGATCTAAACAACACAGATGAACTATGTTTAATTACTAAGCACTGAGCCAACAGGCAGCATGGTGGATAAGTCAGCTGGATCCCACATGGCAGGCTGTGTGGTTTGAGTCCTGAACCTGGCAACTTGGAAAATACACCAGGCGCGTGTGCATCAGTGCCCAAAATCTCAAGAGGAGAATGGAGTAGAAGGGACTGAGGCATGGCCGGCCCCTCTGGGGGGTAATTTCTCACTTTCTCTCGCTTTCTCTCTCTCTTTCCCCAGTGAGAACATGCACCCTACTGGAAATTTTAAAAGTTAAGTTAAATTTTAAAATCTTTTTTTATTTAGAGAGATTTTTGTTCTAGGGTGTGTATACTCACCAGAGACACACAGAGAGAGACAGAAAGTGAGAACTCTCCCCAGTGGGGATGGCCACATTGCAATCCCTTTTCCTCCATTCTCCCCTCAGGATTTTGGACACACATGCGCATGTGCCAGGCATCAGTTTTTTAAGCTGCCAGGTCCAGGACTCAAACTACATGGGAGTCCAGTGACATAACCATTACGCCATCTGCTGCTCACAAATGTAAAAATTTCTGAGCACTATGTCAGAACATGAGGAGTATTTATAACATAGTGTAAAATAAACTTTATTTTAAAAAAATCACGTCTATGATGGCAAGAGGTATAACAGAAATACCATGGGACAGATATTTGAAGAAAGCATTTTAAAATGAAAGTAAGTGTATCATGTCAGGGAGATTATGAGCGGCTTGAAGCCTTCCTTCCTAATGAAAATGCACCTGGGCCATTGCTGTTCCTGACAGCGCGGCTCCCCAGCCCAATGAGAAAGCTGGAGCACACAGGCTGGGACCACACAGAAGTGCAGAGAGATACCGGCCAAGGCAGAGCCAGCACCTGGCTGAGCCACACACAGGCCACAGCGCGGCGAAACCAGAGCCTCCACCCTGTCGACACTCACTGGACACTGCAGCCGAATGTCTAACCCCTCAGCCAGTTTGTCCATGATGACGGAGTAGCCAGGCGTCAGCAGAGTGTGGTCACCAGCAAACTGGGCGAAGAACTCGTTGTGGTCCCAGGAGCGCGCGGACACCTGGGAAACAGCAAGAGAGGCTGCGAATGTGTGGTGTGAGTCCCTGAGCCTGCAGGGGCCACACAGTGGAGCTCCAGGCTGGGACAGCCACCGAGCAGGGGGCAGGGCCTCCGACCACACGCAATGTCCTGGGATGGGGACAAGACCAGCCCAGGCAGATGCTGCTGTTCAGGGCAAGGAAATCCTTCCATAACACACAGAAAAGTTTCCATAGAACAAAACATCTATGTAACATGGGCATGGAATTTATACATTCCTTGATAAAAGTAAAAGGTGATTTTATATTATCAACAATTCTGGGCCCAGCCCCTTAGCTCAGTGGTTAAGGGAGCCAGGCCCCACATGGCCATTCACAGTTCAAATCCCCACTCCAGTGGCTTAAAAAATGCTGGGCACATGTGTTTGCATGCCCTAAATTTTGACAGGATAGAAAAATGGAGAAGAGACTGTGGTGTGGCCACAGGCCATTGGGCAGTTCTTTCTCCCTCTCCTCTCTCTACCACACATAACTTCTAGCAATTTAAAAGTAAATGAACTAAAACAAAAAATTCTGGCAAAGGAGAACTCTACAAGGTTAAAACTGCGTTTGATGATGATGGCCCAGTAGGTGGTGCAGAGGTTAAGGCAGCTGGAACCCAAATGGCCAACTGTGTGGTTCAAGTCCTGGCCCCAGCAGCCTAGAAAACATGCCAGGTGCATGTGTGTGCATGCCCAAAATCCTAAGAGGAGAATGGAGAAAGAAGTGCAGCCTGACCATCCCCATGGAGGATGATTTTTCACCTCTAGTACACATAGTACGCATGCCCTATAGAAAACAAAAGAGGGACCAGCAGTTAGTGTAATGGCTATGTCACTGGACTCCCACATAGTCGACTGCGGTTCGAGTCTCGGATCCGGTGGCTTAAACTCACTCTGGGCGCGTGTGCGTGCGTGCCCAAGATCCTGAGAGGAGAATGGAGGAGAAGGGATTGCGGTGTGGCCATCCCCCCTGGGGGGTGATTTCTCGCTTTCTATTTCTCTGTCTCTGTCTGATGGTGAGCACACACGCCCTATAGTAAAACCCTCTCCAGAAAAAAAAAAGAAAACAAAAAAACTGCATTTGATGAACTCTATAGATAAATATGCCAACTATTGTCTTCTACATGAAAACTCTACAGACGAAACCCAGGGTGACTTTGGAAAACAGTGCAATTCCAATCTCAGTGCAGAATGGAATGGAAATGAAGAGGTCCCAAAGGGGACAGTGAACTCATTCCTGGCTTCTATTCAAAGTGCAGGACAATGGGGCGTGAGGTCACAGCTGATTAAAAGAGTCAGGCAGACCTAAGTTTACTTCAACAAGATAAACAGGACAGATTTGCAGGAGGACTGTGGTCTGCTTTCTTGCAAGCAGTGTTCATGATGTCTTGGGCTCCGCAGTTTCACAGAAACGCTGCAAAGGCCTCTGCGGAGGAGAGGAGGGCAGGTACAGTGCAGGCTTGGGCCCCACCCGATGCGCCCGGCAGCCCCCCTTTCTTTGGTTTTATGTACTGGTACTGAGCTCTTCTCAGCATTATCTGGCTTAAACAGAAAAAAAAGAGCTAAAAAAACACTGGAGTTAAAAGGCTCTGAGGTCGCGATTTTCAAACTGTAAAGCAGGGTAGCCGTGTGCTTATCCAAACCAGTGAGAGCTCAGTGCTGATCACTTATGCACGTCTTCATTGTGATAAAGACACAAGTCATGTATTTATTACAGGCCGTGACCCCCCCTTCCCCAGCCCCTCGGGATCCTGGGAACCTGGACGGTACCTGCTGTGTGTTCAAGGCTGCCCAGGGACCTGAATGCTGGGTGGTGGCCATGTGGCTTCCAGCATCACAGGGCACTCTGCCACTCATGTTCCCTCAATATTTAGATGTGTAGAAAAACAAGCACGCAAAAATAAGCCTTTTCAAAACACATGTTCTAAGACCCCCAACCCCACCTGGTAGAGGTTGCTGCCGCAGGCATATTCCAGGTTGCTGAGGTGGAACTGAAGCACCTGCCCTTCGAGCTCGCTAAACTGGATGCCGGATTCCTTTATAAAAGCTTTGTAGATCTCCTCTATCTTCTCTGTAATGGGGGTGGATCAAAGCAGAAACAAGAGCTTTAGTAATCAGGATTCTCTAGTTCCTTAACCTTTGCTTTCAACCTCCTCCCACCAGCATCCCCAACCCCCCAAAAATTTAAAAAAAACTCCTGAAGTCTTTTCCAAGTAACCTCAGGGGTAAAGATCTCTTGCTAAGATTTTTATAGGTTCTAGATCTATAATGTTTCTTTTCCACTCAGTTAAGGATCTTTCTTCTTCTTTTCAAGATACATAAAAAGGACCCCCCACTCATACATGCACAGACCACAGACAGAGGATTAGCACAGTCTTTCTCATCTCCTTGCCATTACCTGAAACTAAATTTCTAACAATATTTCGCCTCCACTGAGAGACCTGTAAGAGACTAATTGCTGTCTGTCATCTCTCCTGAATGCAGATGTTGCTCTGAGGGCTTTTCACCATGTCATGACCCCATGCCCAGAACTCCAGAAGCCACTGCCCAGCAAGGATGGGAGCACGACCAGCTGCCCACTCACAGGCTCTGTCGCTCCCTCTCACCGAATCCCACCCATCCCCTCTAGTCCACCATCACCCAACCACTGCAGCCTCCAGAGCTCTCCCTGCTGCCCACCTCACATTTACCTGAACCTTTTAGCTGCAACCCTGCAAATTCATTCGTTATTCTCTCAGATTCCATTCTGGGAGGCTGAAGGAGAGGCCCAGACTACTGCCAAAGTAATAAGCATTTCTATACATGCTACTTCTTTTTCACTTTTCTAGTGATGACAACCATTGAACACATACATCACAGACTCCAAGTTTCGGTAACACAGCGTGAGCTCAGCTGATTACAAAAAGAACTGACTATCAGCTAACTTTCTTTTCTGAGAGGTCAAAGTTGTCATTCAAGTTTTCAATTCTTTTCTTTCTTTTTAATTTTAGGCTTCTTCTTTTTTTTTTTTTTTTTTTTTTTGGCTATAGGGTGCATACACTCACTGGAAAAGGGATGGGGGGAAAAGTGAGAAATCAACCGTCAGGGTGGATGGTCAAGCCTCAATCCCTTCTCCTTCACTCTCTTCTCAGGATTTTGGACATGCATGTACTCAGTGTGTTTTTCTAGCCACTGGGTCCAGTACTGCACAATCACCTATGGGGGATCCTGCTGGCCCTATAGTTTTCAATTCTTACCAGAGATTGCAATGTTTAAGGGATCTGGGACCAGCAGGTAGCATGGTAGTTTAAGTGCTGGACACTCCCACATAACCAACCATGGTTCAAGACCTGGTGGCTTGCTTTCTCACTTTCCCTCTCTCTGTGCATGTGTGTGTGTGTGTGTGTGTGTGTGTGTGTGTCTTTCTCTGATCAATTAAAACAAATGAACGAGTAAAATTAAATAATTCATTCTTTTTAAAAAATGTTTAGGAGATGGCTGCATTTGTGGCAAGCTTTTGCCCCTGTACCTTTGTGTTTTAGGTCACTTTCAGGGACCTCTGTAGCAGTTCTACACCTGCCCCATGCGTAGTTTCTACTTTCCTATGGTTTTGTGGAGAGAAAAGAACCAAGATTGCTAGAAAAGGATATAAAATTAAGTATAAACAGACTGAACAGGGTGTTAGTATGATTTTATGTAAATAATGTTTAGAGGCTTTAGTGCCTATGCTTTGTGAAATGAACTCTAGCCCCATAGCGACTTACATCTTGTTCTTTTTCAGCTTTGTGCTAATAAGATGCATGGTCAGCCAGCCACAATCCTGACAGGCAGGGTATAACTGTAACCTCATACAGAGACGTGTGCATTATAATTAAAGCTTTCTGATAAAACATTAATAATATGAAAGTAAGTGTTGCTAGGCCACCCTTAATTTTTTTTGAGTAAGACCAAAGCAAAGTGATATCATTAAAGCTTTCCATTTTGCGACTATGAAAGTAGTGTAAAGAAAGTCTGGGCAGTGACTACCACACAGGTACAAATCACTACCCAAGCTCTGGGGATAGCCTGCTAGACAGCCCAGTAACTGTTCTCAGTGCCAGAAAATCCAACAACTCTCCAATTGGTCTGGACACTAAAACACTTCAATGATACCTGCTGACCAGACCATACTTATGAAAATGTTCTGTCACGTTTTGTCAGTTAACCACTACTAATGACGATTAGAGTGGGACCAGTCTCTCAGAGGTGGTAAGCTGAGGTAGTGACGGGGGAAAGGAAGGAGAAAAAGACAAGACAGACTGTCCCTGCTAGGAGAGGTTTACCCCGAAGACCAACTGTGTGACAGCTTGGTGAAGTGAGGACCCTTGCGAAGAAACACATAGCTGAAGAAAATTAACATCTTGCAAACTGAGTTCAAATGTTCATACTTCAACAAACTCCAATATGCCTCCACGAATGGCAAGTGGATGCATTCAGGTCACAAAACTGTAGGTTAAATAAATGAAAACTTAAGAAGCAATACAGTAAAACTGCAGCTGGCACCTTACAGAAACCAGTCATTAAAGGCAGTCAAGATTTCTGAAGGGTTGGTTAATATTGCCCATTTAATTGCCAAAGCCAAAAGATTGTGAATTAAAATTCTTAAATTACAATATACATTCTTGCACCCTTAAACAAAATATACTGAAACACCTTCACCTACTGCCCCCTCCAAAGAGGAACAGAGAAGAATTCCTGGTATCCAGAAACCCTTATACAAGAGGCATTACATGGCGGGAATTTATCCACAGAACGCTTTCCACATGCTTCCCGAAAAGCAAGCTCCTCTGGGTAATTTAAAATCAAATATTTAGAGAATGCTGTAAAACACCAGCTGTTGTTTACCATTAGGGTCATCTAAGCAGGTACGGAAGGTCTGCAGGCACCTAAGGTCCCTCGGGAGGTTCTGTGCCCCTCTGGACGCACACAGGTCACCCCTACCGCAGACGTCCAACCTCGCCGCCAACAGTGCTACTGCCGATCACACTGAGGTTAGGACGAGACTAAGATGCAACAGTCAGAACACCATTCTCCCCGTACCTCCTAACGGGACATCTTGGAGCTGAGTCTTATCCTTCCTCCACTCAGAGACAACATCCAAGAGAGCATTAAAATGAAAATCCATGCGCTTGTCAATAGTGGGGTCAGTTATTCTTCCACCTTCCTGAATTAAGTCACATCTTTCTCCAAATTTATGCATGCTGATGCCAAGCTTCAAAATAATAAGAATAAGAAGGTGAACAATAAGAAGGTGAAAAATATTGACAGGTTCGAAGTTGAAATTAGAGCTCTCATGGAGAAACGGACTAGTATCTCTCAAAAATAAAGCAAAGTAAGCTTCACGGGGAATGGCGGCAGAGCCAGGCAGTGGGAAAGGCATAAACTCTACAAGACCTTCTTTCGCGAGCGTGTGAGGGTGACAGCAACGGAGGCTAAGCCATGCACTCTAACTCCTCGGCTACTGAAAAAGCCGTGCACTGCCTGTCCTTGCTCGAACATTCCACCTCCTCCATGACCACTCGTGTAAGCAAACACGCAAATACACAAACACTAGTTTACTGTCAATAAATGTTTCAGGAAAAACCCTTGGGCCCACCAGGGCTGTAGAGAAACTTTATAAGGTTGCCAGGGAAGAGATAGGATGCCCGGTGACATCTGACTTTCAGATAAATAACGTACTTTGGAAGTACAAGTATGTCCCAAATATTGCATACAAATCATATTTAATATTTGAGATACACTAAAATCATCATTCTCTACCTGAAAATCAAACTTAACCAAGAATCCTATATTCTTATTTGCAAAGTCTGGCAACCCTGAAACTGTGAGCCAATCAAGTGGCCTACAAATAAAATTAAAGACCTTATAAAAAGGGGGGGGGGACCTTTAAGTCTTCTAGTTCTAGCTTTCTCAGAAAGGCAGAAGTATCATTCTTATTTACTTGGCAGAGATTAAAGGGGCTGGTATATGTGGTCTTTTAGAAATATTAACACTCCACACAAGTACATGAAGACAATTTTCTGTCGCGACAATAAAATCTTAGAGAAACTTACTTGTTCACACATCAGTGCTACGGGGTTGTTAATACAGCCATTGACGATCTGTGCTCCTCTTCCCACAGTGACACCTTTGAAAGACTTATCATCCCAAACTCGGCCTCCAATCCTGTCTTTGGCTTCTAGGACAGTCACCTAGAGAGACGATCGGAGAAGCTAAACAGGCTAGGACAGTCTGACGAGACACAGTATAAAGAAGGGGGCAGCTCTGTAGCCTGGTGGTTAAAGTAACTGGATCCCTCATGGCTGACCACCCAGTTCACATCCCTGACCCAGGAGCTTGAAAAACAGACCAGGTGTACCTGCATGCCCAAAATCCTGCTGAGAGTGAGAAACAGAAGAGAGACAGCGGCGTGACTACACCCTGCTGAAGGTGCTTTCTCTTCTCCCTTTCTCTGTCTCCTTCTGGCAGTACAAGTGCCCTCTGGCAAAAATTTTAAAAGAAAATGTAGAATGACATTGTTAAATAACCTCCACAGTTAACTTGTGAGACCAGCAGTTGGCATAATGGCTATGTCACTGGACTCCCATGTAGTCGACTGCGGTTCAAGTCCTGGACCTAGAGGCTTAAACTCACGCCGGGCATGTGTAGGTGTGTGCCCAAGATCTGGAGAGGAGAATGGAGGAGAAGGGATTGAAGCATGGCCATCCCCCCCGGGGAGTGATTTCTCGCTCTCTGTCTTTCTGGCGAGCGCACACCCCTATAGCAAAAACCTCTCCAAAAATAAATAAATAAATAACCTCCATAGTTAAGTTGTATTTCTACAGAAACAGGAGTGGGGTGGTGGCACAGTAGTGACAAAACGCTCTGTGATACCAGGCCCACGTGGGGGTGTCCTGGGTTTGCATCGAGTCCCCCTGCAAAGGCTGGGAATGCATGTGCCCAGGACCTAGGAGGGCTGGGACTACAGAGCTAGTTTGCATCATGAGGACCCTTTGGAGTACTATCTCTTTCTCTAATGAAAAAAAAAATTTAAAAATACAATGATAGTGTTAAATAATCTCCACATTTAATTAATTTATTGTATTCATACAGAAACAACTTTTTTTTTTTTTTGAGATTTCTGCTATAGGGCATGTGTGCTCGACAGAGAGACAGAAAATGAGAAATCGCCTCCCTGAGGGGGAGAACCACGCCGCAGTCCCTTCTCCTCCATTCATCTCTCAGGATTCCGGGCACGCACACACACGCACCTAGCATGCGTTTTAAGCCGCTGGGTCCAGAACTCAGCCACAGTCGACTACATGGGAGTCCATCTGGTCCCCAGAAACAGCTCTGAAAGCAGCCAATGGAAACAGAAGGCAAAGCGAATATCCAAAGCAGTCCAGATCCTAGCGCAGAGTAACGGAGTGCTCTGCCTCCAAACCCCTCCAACCACGTCCTCTCAGGTCAGACAATAAGATCTGAGGAACCAGCATGGGAAATGCACTTTGAAAGTTCTTACTAAACAGCACGATTAAACACTATTTTAAGGGGCCGGCAGGTGGCATGGTGGTTAAGGGCACTGAATACCCACACAGTCAACCACGGTTCAGTCCCGGACCCGGAGGCTTGTCTTTTCACTTTCCTCCTCTCTCTCTCTTGCTCTGTCCTTCTCTGGTCCAATTAAAAATAAGTAAATACATAAAATTAAGTTAAATAATTCTTAAAAAAAATTAATATTAAAGAGGATTTTTTTCCCTATGAAATACCTATACATGTAATAGCAAAAGTCCTTTAGGTCTATAGCAATAGACCTAAAATTCCCTAAGATCTGACTATTAAAGAAAGGAGAAAAAGAAAGGTCCTATTCCAAACTAAGTGTGACCTCGTCGACTTGCCCTAATCACACGGGTCCCATGTCCAAGCTAGCTTATCTCCTCCAAATATTCTTTATCTTTTTTGCCAGAAGACACATACTCTCACCAGAGAGAGATAAAGATGGAGAGAGAGAGAGAAAGCAGCCTACAAAGGGGCATGGTCACCCTTCTCCATTTCTCCATATTGCTGCGATTTACGCAGGCACATATGCCAGATGTGTTTTCAAACCACTATGGACAGGGGTAAACAGTGCAGTGGCCACATGAGATCCAACTACCTTAATCATTGGGCACACGGTTGGCCCTCACCTCCAATTTTTAAATAAATGTATATTTTATTTATTTAAAATTTTTTTATTATCATTTCCAGGAATGAGAGAGAGAAAGACGGTTACACCCGACAGGGTTCTCACAGCACAATCTACCCTCAGTCTTAGCCAGTGTGGATCATGGGCTCATGTACACACCTGGCATGCTTAGTGAGGTCCCGGGATGAGAACCGAGGACCTTTACCATGTGGGGCCACCTGTATCTCCTTGCAATTTCCACTGCCAGGCATGAAGCTGTCCTCCAATGAAGAGACACCATCTCACTTGAGCCCTGGGAGCCTAAGTGCCAAGCTTCGCTGGGGGACACTAACTGAAAATGTGAGGCTATTTATCCCAAGGCCAGGCGTCTCCTTTCTAGATCCCTAAAAGCACCACCTTTTGCTCAGATTGTTCAAGAGGTTCTTTGAATTAATCACCTTCCGGGCTACTCAAGAGGATCCCGCCGGTCGCCAGAAAGTCATAATGCATTTTTACATAGAAAAATATGTCATGGTTTTTCTGATGACTATTTCCTCACAAAGAGGGACAAGATGTCCCCTGGGTGTCCCCCTCGTCTCTTGGGGAGAGTAAGAGGACAGTAAAAGGGGTCGTCTGGATGCTCCTCCACTGGCCTGACCTCTTCACTTTCTCTAACTCGGAAGGCTAGGGGCCTGTACAATACTCAAAAGTTAGACAATTCCATCTCAACCAATAGATTAACTAATCCGATCTTGCTTCCAAAGGCAACGTTCGGTTTTCCAGAGGAACATTCAAAGAGTGTCTCTGATATTACCTAAGAAAATCTGATTATTTCTGAAACTTCTCCACAAGAAGTGAATTTCCATGGCACTACTTCTTGTCTTAAACTACTGCAGAAACAAAAGTTTTCCCCCATCACCTCTCCTGTGTTAATAAAAATCTGTCAAAACTCTGCTTTAATTCCAAGTTAGAATTGCTTCTGACTTGCTCATTAGATATAAAACTTCACAGCTAAGAGACTCTCTACTTGCCTTTACCAATTTCGAACTCTGTAACTTTTCTAGGCTCTACTGTACAAGCATAGGGTTGCTGGGAAAGTCGTGACACATTTTTGCGTAGAGAAATGTGTCCTGACAACCTAAAATAATGTATTTATTATTGTTCACTAAGATTAGAAACTGAGTGCTAAATCTTAGAAAATCTGGCCAAGGACCAGCAGGTGGCACAGTGGTTAAGGGCACTGGACTCCCCCATGACCAACCATGGTTTGAGTCCCAGACCTGACAGCTTGCTTTCTCACATTCCCTCTCTCTTTCTCACTGTCCCTCTCTGGTCAAATTAAAAATTTTAAAAATTAAATAATTATTAAAAAAAAATAAAAGGAAAATCTAGTCCAAAGAAGTGATAGCAGCCCATCTGTTTTCAGCCAGGTGTTCCCAAATTCTCACCTTAATTCCAAAGTTATGCAGTTGCCTCGCAGCTGCTAATCCTGCAGGACCAGCTCCAACAACAATGACTGATTTCTTAACAAAAAAAAAAAAAAAGGAAGAAAGAAAAGAAAGCAAATTCCAATTAGAGAGGTAACAATGCACTGCTTTTGTTCAGGAAGGTGCTGACTGCCAAGCAATGTCCATTCACCTACACTTCTATGGTCTCCTTAGAGTTATTTTTCTAAAGCATACAGGGGTAGTTGGGTTAGATAAAAGTAATTCCTTCCTTTATTTTCTCCATTTGGGGAAAACACTCCTCTCTCAGGAAAAACGCATATTCAATAAAGCCTTGCTTCTCTAAGTTCTGCGGTGATAACGTGACTTTTGCTGGCCCGGACAGGCACCACGTGAATGTCTCATGAGGGAGTGCAGCGTTACTGCGAGGGCGGCGGCACCTACATTGTGGTAGTCTTTAGGAAGAAGATACTGGTCGGCTCCCACGCCGAGAACGCCTGTGTTGATGAGACCTTTCCTCGTCATAAAATAAAGTATCCTCTCCACTTCCTGAACACATCGGATGCGCACAAGACCCCGAACAATGATGTGAGGAATACATTTCTGAGGAGTCAGAGCTTCCTGTGTTTGAACATGAAACCAAACTGTTAAAAAAAAAAATCTCAAGGAACTCAAGATCCCAAAAAACATAATCCAATTAAAAAAATCAGTGGAAGACTTGAAGATACATTTCTCCAAAGAAGACATGCAAATGGCCAATGGTCTAAGGGGAGAATACTCGACATCATTAATCGTTAGAGAAATATATCGACAGAGAAAGGCAAATTAAAACCAAAAAGAGATTATCACCTCACACCTGTTATAATATCAAATATGTGTTTGATACTATCAGATAAACAGAAGATTACAAGGGTCGGAGTGAAAGGCGAATCCCTGCACACCATCAGTGTGAGTGCACATTAGTGTAGCAATTATGGCAAACAGTATGGAGATTCCTCCAACAATTAAAAACAGAACTGTTACATGATCCAGGAGTCCCACTGCTGGGAACACACCCAGAGGAAGTAACACCAGTATGACAAAGAGATGCCTTCCTGTGATTACTGCAGGGTTATTCACAAGAGCCAAGATGTGGAATCAAGCCAAGTGTCTAGCAATGACCGAGCAGATAAAGAAAGGTGGTGTACATACACAATGGAATACTACCTAGCCTTTAAAAAAAAAAAAAAGAAATCCTGTCTTCTGGGACAACGTGGATGAACCTGGAGGACATTCTGTTAAATAAAATAGGCCAACACAGACAAATACTGAATGATCTCACTTAAATGTGGACTCTAAAAAACTCGCAGAGGCAGAGAGGATATTGTGGGTTACCAGAGGTTGAGGTTGGGGGGACCAGCGTTAACATAATGGCTATGTTGCTGGACTCCTGTGTAGCCAACCGCAGTCCGAGTCCTGGATCTGGTGGCTTAAACGCACGCTGGGTGCAAGTGTGTGTGTGCCCAAGATCCCGAGAGGAGAATAGAGGAGAAGGGATTGCGGCGTGACCATCCCCCCCTGGGGGGTGATTTCTCGCTTTCTCTTTCTCTGTCTACCTGGCGAGCGCACTTGCCCTATAGCAAAAAAATAAAAATAAAATAAAAAACCTCTCCAAAAAAAAAAAAAAAGGAGGTTGAGGTTGGGAATCTATAAAGAGATGATCAAAAGTCATGAGATTTTAGTTAGAAAGGAGGAATAATTTCAAAAGAGCTATCGTACAATGGTGATTACAGTTAATGTCAATATACTGTATAACGTAAAACTGCTAAAGGAATAGATTTTCAGTGTTCTCGACACAAGGCAACAGTAAGTATGTGATGTAACACGTGTCAATTAGATCAATTCGGCCACTCCACAACATACACGTGTTTCGAAACACTACACTGTACACCATAAGTAGGTACAATTTTTGTCAATTTAAATCATTTTTAAAACTCTCCTGGTTTTGACTGGCACTATAAATAGTTCTACCTGGCAGAGAGGATTAGAGAAGCCATATGAAAGAATTCATACCCTAAAATAGCCTGGACTTTTCCAGCCAGCATTGTAACCAGTGGAGATTGCAAAAGAGCTGACGCAACCAGAGGATTACCTTGAGGAAGCCTTTGAAAGAAGAAAAAGAGGCTGATCTTTGCTAGCAGGTGGTAAACCACAGAATCCTTGGTAGGCAGGGCTGAGTTGGGAAGGTTCATGTGTGAATTGTGTGTTGGGTGTCTGCTTTCCAACAGTCTGAGTAGTGGATGTGTAAATATTTCCTCAAAAATATTTAAAACCGAGACCAGCAAATGACATGGTGGTTGAGACGCTGGACACTCCCACATGGCCAACTACGGATCAAGTCCCAGACCCGGTGGTTTGCTTTCTCAACTTCTCTCTCTCTGATCAAATTTTAAAAAATAATAAGGGAATAAAGTTAAATAATTCTCTAAATTTTTTTTTAATTAAAACCATACTGATTCTGTTACAGTTACAAACAAAACTATAACAAATGTTTTGAAGGTTATCTTTAAAATTCAGGTTTTTTTAGAAATTTCAAAATTTATTAACTCTCAAGAACTATGGAGTATGAGCAAAAAATTTTTGACATATAAAGTAAATGTGAGAAAAGGTAAATAAATTTTTAAAAATAAGCAAAAAAAAAAAAGTTTCTTAGTTTCTCAAAAAATTAAAATAAATTACCATATGATCCAGCAATTTGGCTCGTAGGTATATATATCCAAAAGGGCTGACAACAAGTTTTCAAACAAAATGCTCATAGCGGAGGTATTAAAATGTCCAAAAGAGAGAATCAATGCAATTTTACAAACGAGTAAAATCAAGGGCATATCCACGTGATGGAGTATTGTTCAGCCATGAGACACTGATATGCAACAAGGCAGATAAATCTCAAAAGTATGCTACGTGAGGGGCCAGTGGATAGCATAGCGATTATGTCGCTGCACTCCCACATGGCCTATTACAGTTCGAGTCCCAGACCTGGCAGCTTAAAACTCATGCCAGGCACATGTGCGTGCATACCAAAGATCCCAGGAGGAGAATGAGAATGGAAAAAGGATTTTGACATGGCATCCCTATAGGGAGTGTTTCTCATTTCTCTCTCACTGTCTCTGTCTCTCTCCCCAGTGAGCACACACTACCTAAGACAAAAACCTCTTAGATTATAAATATATATATATATATATATATATTGGTCCCAAGATACAGTTATATAAATACACACACACATATATATATAAACACACACATATATATGTATATATGTACATACACTTCATGCAAGTAGCTGGTCACAAAAGGCACATACTGTACAATTCTGTTTACAGAAAGTATAGAGAACAGGCAAATACTCAGAAAGACAGCGGGTCACTGGAAAAGCCATGACAGGGCAGGGAGCAGGAGAGAATGGGAAGTAATAGCTTAGTGGCTAAGAGGCTTCCTCTTGGGATAATTAGAAAGCTCTGGGGCCTCCCCTACAGCCTTGTGGGAAGGGAGCTGGATCTCACAAGGCCCAGCAGCTATGAAGAGCACACGGGGCACCAGCATGTGACCAAAATCCCAACAGGGTGGAAAAATGGCAAAGAGACTGTCACGTGATCACGCCCCAGTGATCTTTTAATTGCCAGAGGCACACCCACTCGCCAGAGAGAGGAAAGCACCCCATCACGCATGCCACCTTGCTGTCCCTTCAGTTTCTGCATCCTGGGAGATTTGGGGTCCGCGTGCTTTTCAAGCTGCTGGGGCAAGGACTTGAACTGCGGCAGAACACGTGGGTTCCGGGCCCCATAACCACTAGATGACAGGAGCTGTCCCCTGGAATATCTTTAACTAAGACAACATAGGCAGTCTTGCACGACAGCCTGCATTCAGCAGACACTTACATGATTGCCAAAGAAATTGGTAAGTGAGAAAAATACACAGTGTCTGTATTTTTTCAAAAACCTGCTATTCCCATCCCACCTTACCCTTCCCTCTGTGTAATGCTCTTAACATCTCTTTAGTCCCAACAAGGGGAAACGCACTGGTCACGGCCTGCTGAGGACACCAAGGGGAATAGGCTAAATCCCTGCCTGGAAGGACTTAGATCCAGCCTTCCAGGTTTTCATCCTCCTGGTACTGCCATGAAACCTTTGGATCGAGCTTCATGCCTTATACCCACTGGAGTCAGCATTCTGCATATGAAGGGACTTATAAAAATTCGGGAAAAAAATAGAATTAATGGGCAAGTTATTTGGTGCAAAAACAGAAATCCACACACAGTTTCTTCATAATGGGCATTTTCATTCACAAGATCTCTCACATACGGTTTAAGGGGTAGCTCTTGGAGCCAGCAGGGGGTGTGGTGGATAAGGTGGGTGCTGGACTCCCACATGGCCGACCATGGCTCAAGTCCTGGACCTGGCAGCTTGCTTTCTCACTTTCCCTCTCTCTCACTCTGTCCTTCTCTGGTCAAATTAAAATAAGTAAATAAAGTTAGATAATAAAAAAAATTCTTTAAAAAACAAATGAAGTGGTGGCTCTCGCCAGGGGCAGTCCAGACCCAGTGACGACGTCTAGAGGCTATGCAGCCATCACAACCGGCACACGGTGGGAGAAGGCCAGGGGCTCCCACACGCCCTTCAGTGCACAGGGCAGCCCGGCCAGAAGGAACCGTCCACACGAAGTCAACCGCAGCGAGGCTGACAGCCCATGGCCCAGAGGTTCCAACCAGGTCCAGCAGCCCCTCTGCCTGGACAGAGGGCCCCATCCAGGAACTGGTGGCTCCCAGGCCCAACTCACTCGACAGCGGGTGTACCAGAGCGCCAAGATGAGGTTGCGCAGGGCCAGGTACATGGTGGGGTCGCGGGAGTACTCGGGGAACTCGTACAGCTCATCCAGCTCCATCACGTCGGGCCGCACGCACAGGGCTTTGCCGCACTCGTTGGGCTGGTAGAAAGGCTGGGGCTCAAGTCCTGGACCTGGCAGCTTGCTTTCTCACTTTCCCTCTCTCTCACTCTGTCCTTCTCTGGTCAAATTAAAATAAGTAAATAAAGTTAGATAATAAAAAAAATTCTTTAAAAAACAAATGAAGTGGTGGCTCTCGCCAGGGGCAGTCCAGACCCAGTGACGACGTCTAGAGGCTATGCAGCCATCACAACCGGCACACGGTGGGAGAAGGCCAGGGGCTCCCACACGCCCTTCAGTGCACAGGGCAGCCCGGCCAGAAGGAACCGTCCACACGAAGTCAACCGCAGCGAGGCTGACAGCCCATGGCCCAGAGGTTCCAACCAGGTCCAGCAGCCCCTCTGCCTGGACAGAGGGCCCCATCCAGGAACTGGTGGCTCCCAGGCCCAACTCACTCGACAGCGGGTGTACCAGAGCGCCAAGATGAGGTTGCGCAGGGCCAGGTACATGGTGGGGTCGCGGGAGTACTCGGGGAACTCGTACAGCTCATCCAGCTCCATCACGTCGGGCCGCACGCACAGGGCTTTGCCGCACTCGTTGGGCTGGTAGAAAGGCTGGAAGTAACGGTTCATACCTGCAAGGGACAGGGGACACGGGGTCACGTCTACAGCTGTGACTTCCAAATCCAGAGTATTAGAGCAGAGACAAAGCAAACGAACAGCTCAGATGAGCTCCAGACTATCCTCCATAAACACCTCTGCTCCTTCCAGCCACTGGACAAAATATTTTCCCATTGTTTTCTTCCCCAATGAGTCACCGTTTTAACTTCCGTGGTGTGACAAGTGTCACCGCCCTTCCACACTACTGAGAGCGAACCGACTGCACATTAGGTGCAAGTGATAGGACAGATCCATGGGATAACCACACTCAAGGGCTACCGAAGAGCCGCTCGTCCCTGTCACACCATCCTGCGAGCGAGTCTTCTGCATCCTTCTCCCCACGGCTCCAGGGCGGGGCGGGAGTGCTTCTCACCGGGCACGGAGAGGGCTGCCTTGGACGGCTCCAGCTTGGCCGGGCTGGCCGCGCGGTTCGTGCTGGTGCAGGAGGGGCTCATGCCGACGCAGTCGGGGTAGTAGGCGGACAGTAGGGGCGCGGCCACGCTGTCTTTCAGCAAAGGAGGTAGGATGAGCATGGAGTACCACCAGTGGTTGGAAACTTCTGACACTCTCTGCAACGAGCCAGGCAGGAGACGGGCAATGACGGGCCGGGGACGGATGTGCCGGTTCCACCAGACAGGTACTTTCCATTTCATTCATTCTCAGCCCTTCTCCTCTGCCTTTCCTCACTCGCACTCTGATTCTCTCCCACAGCTCCACACACACAGATTCGGAAAGAAAGCGGACTGCAGCCTGGGGAGAATGTTGCCCAGGCAGAACTGACTGACATACGGTAACAGCCACCCCCAAATAAACCCACCGACACTAGGTAAGCCTTCAAGTGGCAGCCATTAATTACACGTAAGGCTGCCGCGGGAATTTCTTTCTGCTTGGTCTTCATCGAGTTCCCCCTTTTCACTTAGGATCTCAAGATAGCTGAAACTGAGAAACTGGGCATAAAAAATCATTCTAACTAGTATTCAAGCCTTCTGGCTTTTTGCCAAAGACTACCAAAAACTGCCAGAGAGACACTGTGACCATGGAGAGAAGGGCACAAATGTAGACCTGAACAAAAGTGGTTACTTTCAGTCTTCAGATACAGCATCGCATTCCAGAGCTGATTTAAATATGGAGTGCTAGATCCCAGCAGCGCGTGACCACGAACCACGGCTATGAAATGATCAACGGGCCGGCAGGTGCAGAGAGGTTAAGGCAGCTGAATTCCACACGGCCAGCTGTGTGGCGCAAATCCCAAAGGAGCTCGAAAAACATGGGGCCAGCGGGAGACGTGGGGCTAAGGGCGCTGGACTCCCACATGGCCGAGCAGTCAGAGCCCTGGACCTAGCAGCTCGCTTTCTCCCTTTCCCTTTCTCTCTCTCTGTCTCTTTCTGGTCAAAATAAAATAATAACAACAAATGGAATTAAATAAATAAATCAGCCCCAAAAAAAAAAGAAAGAAAAGAAAACACACCAGGCGCATGAGCATACACGCCCAAAATCCCAAGAGGAGACTGGTGAAGAACTGAGGTGTGGCCATCCACCCTGAGGGGTGCTTGCTCGCTCTCTCACTCTCTCGCTCGCTCTCTCTCTCTCTCCCCCCCCGATGAGCACACGCACCCTATAGCAAAAATCAAAACACATACAAGAGGAGCAGCACAGTGACCATTACGAGGACTGCCAGCAGGCCACCTGCCAGAGCAGAAGAGGCAGGGAGGATCCTCCCCTGAGCTGCCAGGGCGAGCATGGTCCTACAGGCACCTGAGTTTCAGACCTCCTGCTTCCAGAAGGGTGAGAGAAGGCATTTCCGTTGTTTTATGCCACCCAGTTTGTGATACGCTGTCCAGGCCCGTAGGAAGCCAACACACCTGGCTCAAATTAAGAAACTGCTCTAAAAGTGTCTGTAGAACCCACAGGACTAGGAAAAGGGCAAGGTAGATAGTTACGGCACATGTGCTCCCGACTCCTCCTTCACAGCACAGAAATAAGTAAGGCAGGTGAGCATCCATGAGCAGAATGTTTTAAGTTCTTCTGTCCCACAAGCAGGGCCTCTGCCCCAACGTCCAGATCTTTCGGAGTGCAAAATGGACTCAGTATTAGGGACAGTGGGGAAGGCACTGGGGCTGTATTTAAACCTACTCTTCCTCTCTTCAATGATCTCATCCTGGAAACCCCAAACCCACATATCATCTGGGCCACCCACCGCTTTATCATGGGACTGTCTCAGGTTACGATCTCGGATTTAAAATGAGTGTGCGTGTGTGTGTGCGCGCACATGTGGGCCCGAGGAGCAGGATCTGGGAAGGCTTTATGTTCATCTCCTGGGAAACAGGTGAGCACCTGGACTCGGAGGCCTGGATCTATCCTCCGCCTGGTCCCAGTCTGCATCTGAGCACTGCAGGTGGGAGCCCGCCTGGGGTCAGAGCAGATGCTTCTCTCCCTAACGGCCAGCCTGCCTGGTCTCATGGAAACTAGCCATCCTCCTGAAATGGGAACTCCTGGGGTGGCTCCTCTCCGATGGCCCCCCTCTGCTGCCCACATGCCTCAGCACATTCCTTTACAGAACAGAATAGATTCAAAGATTTGCTAGGCGTCAATTTTCCTTTTGCCTGAAAATACACTGTAGTCCCTGACTTTCAGACTAGACCATAATTTAACAATCCTGAAATTCAAAATAAGAAAATTCTCGGAGTTTTAGAAACTCATAAATCCAGATTTTTTTTTTTTTAAATGTTCTACCATAAGGCATTTGCACTTGCTGGTGAGACAGAAAAAGAAAGAGGGAAAGTAAGAAATCAGCCCCTGAGGGATGGTCACACTGCAATCCCTGCTCCTCCATTCTCCTCTTGGGATTCTGGGCACACACACAAGCACTCAGTGTGTTTTTCAGGCTGCCAAGTCTGTGACTTGAACCACAGTCGGTCATGTGGGATCTAGTACCTTAACCACCATACCTCGTGCTGGCCCAAAGCCCTGAATTTAAAGAATCATTTTCTGGGAACCAGCAGTTAGCCTAACGGCTATGTCACTGGACCACGTAGTCGACCACGGTTCACATCCCGGACCCAGTGGCTTAAAACTCACGCCGGGCGCATGTGCATGCATGCCCAAGATCCCGATAGGAGAATGAAGGAAAAGGGATTGCGGCGTGGCCATCCCCCCTGGGGGGTGATTTCTCACTTTCTGTCTCTATGTCTCTCTCTGTCTGTCTGGCGAGCGCACACGCCCTATAGTGAAAATCTCTCCAAAAAAAAAAAAAAAAAGAATCATTTTGATCTGAGGTCTCAGGCTGCAAAAGAAAACCAAGCACTGAGTAGGGTTACTTGCGAAAGACAGTTTGATGCGTCAGCTTACCTTCAAAATGTCCTTTTTTCCACCTATTACAGTGGCAAAGAAAAAGTTTGATAGAACACCGTGTGAGTGAGGGGGTGAAGAGTCAAGTACTCTCATAAGGTGTTCCTGGTAGAACATGAAGGAATATGACAACAGTGGAGGGCAACGTGACAGAGCAGAAACACTTTAAATCCACAGTAACTTGACCTTATTGTGAATAATGAAGACACACATGCAGGCCCAGCAATTCTAACTTGGATACGGCTTCTAGTGCACAGAGACCTGGGTCCCCATGCACCAGTGAAAGTATTGAAATGTTCCAAGCAGCACTGTTTATAACAGAGAATAAGCAAACAACCCAAAAGTAGAACGAATAAAATATTAAACCCAACCAGAAGCTCCACGGCAAGGGGAGTGCACAAACCCCAGCTCCTCCATTCACCTCTGGGGATTCTGGGCACACACACAAGCACTCAGTGTGTTTTTCAGGCTGCCAAGTCTGTGACTTGAACCACAGTCGGTCATGTGGGATCTAGTACCTTAACCACCATACCTCGTGCTGGCCCAAAGCCCTGAATTTAAAGAATCATTTTCTGGGAACCAGCAGTTAGCCTAACGGCTATGTCACTGGACTCCCACGTAGTCGACCGCGGTTCGCGTCCCGGACCCAGTGGTCCACGGTGCACCTGGCCCAGGCTCACTGATGGCATCGAAGCAGGCCAGACTGCAGAGCTGGAAGCACATGCCAACCACAGTTCAAGTCCCCAGCCCAGATGGCGCGAAAACAAGCCGGGTCTGTGTGTGTGCGCCAGGACCCAGGACCCCAGCGGGCTTGTGGACTGCAGGGGAAAGGGGACTGTGGCATGACCGAGCCCTTTCACCTCTCTCTCTCTCTCCTGTGCACAAGTCACAACCATATCACTGAACAAAAGAAGCTAGACCCATCACAGCGTATGATTCTGTTTCTGCAACGTTCAAGCAAGCAAAAAGGCAACAGCACCGTACGTCAGAACGGCAAGGGGCAGCTGACTCGGGGGAACTGGGATGGAGGCTGTCACTGAAAAGGGGCGTGAGGGCCTTCTGAGAAGCTGCTGAGTGTCCCATTGATGGGGACACAGCCGAATGCGTACTTTGTGAAAATTCACTGGGCTATGCACTTTGATTTATACATTTTTTTTGGTCGAATATTATATTCCAATCAAAATAAGTTGCCTAAATAAGCTAAAGATGGGTATACCATACGGCTCAGAAATTCTAGTCCTGGGAATACATCTCAAAGAAATTCTTGTGTGTGCACTAGGACAGACAGGCAAGAATGCTCAATGAAGCACTACCCGTAACAGCCAAAAACCATCAGCACCCCTCATGCCCATGAACAGAGAAGGAGCCACTGTGGGGGACTTACACTACAGATACTACGAGATACGAGAGTGAACAAACCAGCAACACAGATGCATCCCCCAAATCTCAACGCTGAGTGAAAAGACACTGTAATTTACACTCACTACAAATACAGGCCAAACTTAACACGTGTAGGGTTTCAGAAATATGTGTTAACTGTACAGCAGAAAGCGAGGGATGATAAACATGAGATTCAGAATGCTGTCTTCCCTTGCAGGGGGAGGGCAGGAAGTAAATGTGGGAGCTCCTGGGTGGTGCAGAGCCACTGAGCTGGCAGTGCTCCGAGTCTTCCACTGGGGGTGGGTACATGGGCATTTGCTTTAATTCTTTGTTCCTTACATATAAATTACAAATCTCCAGTTATGTCTATAGGTCATTTCTTATGAAAACAACTGCACATACTTTTTGACTCAGAAATTTCACTTTTAGAAATTAATGCTAGAGACCAGCAGGTGGTGTGGTGGTTGGAGCAGCGGGACCACATAGCTGACTGCAGTTCAAGCCCCAGACCTGGCAGCTCACTTTCTCACTTACCTTCTCTCTCTCTGTCTCTCTGGTTAACTTCAAAAAAATAAAATAAAATGATGACAATGAATAAAATTTTTTTAAAAAGAGAAATTAATGTTAGAGGGACCAGCAGATGGGTAGTGATTACTTCGCTGAACTCCCACATATCGACCACAGTTGGAGTCCCAGACCCGGTGGCTTAAAACTCATGCCCAGTGTATGTGTGTGCATGTCCAAGATCCCGAGAGGAGAATGGAGAAGAGAATGCAGCATGGCCATCTTCCCTAGGAGTGATTTCTCGCTTTCAGTCTCTCTCTGTCTCTCCGGCAAGCTCATGCACCCTATAGGAAAAATCTCTCTCTTTATAAAAAAGAAATTAATGCTAGAAATACACTAAAATATGGCACAAACATAAAGCCATTCACTGCAGCACCATCACTAATAATAAATATTTAAAAGTAATCAAGGGGTTTGGTAGGTGACATGGTGGTTAAGGTACTATACTCCCACGTGGCAGACTGTGTTCCTGGTGGTTGCTTTCTTGCTTTTCCTCTCCTTTCCTCCCTCTCCCCCGCTCTCGTGAGAGTACGTGCACTATAGAAAATTAATAATAATAAATGAAACTAAATAGACAATCCCTTTAAAAAATTTTTAAATAAAAGTAATCAATGAGACCATCAGATGAGGAAATGGCTGGACTCCCGTGTAGTCTACTGTGGTTCAAGTGCTGGACCTGGCAACTTCAAACTCATGCCAGGTGCATGTGCATGACTGCTCAGGATCTCGAGAGGAGAATGGAGGAGAAGGGACTGCAGTGTGGCCATCTCCCCTGGAGGGTGATGTCTCACTTTTGTCTCACACATGCCCTATAGCCAAGATCTCTCTTAAAAAAAAAAACAAAAAAAAAAAACACCTAAAATGTCTTTTTCAATTGCCAGAAGAGCCCTGCACTCACCAAAGAGACAGAGCAAGAGAAAGAAATAGCAAGCCACAGTGGGGCATGGTCATGCTGCGGTCCTTCCCCTCTACTCCTCCAACCTGTTGGGATTTGGGACACACACACGCACACACAGAGCATGTTTTTGAAGCCAGCAGGCCGGGATTCAAACCGCAGTCAGACACATGGGATCCAGCTGCCCCACCCACTAAGTCAGAGCTGGCCTCAAAGTGCCTTTTAAGAGCACGAAGTTGAGCATAGTATATCCGTTTAGTGAACTACTTAATAGACTTTAAAGAGTAGGGAAAATATTTAAATACTGATATAGAAACATGTTTAAGAAACTAAATTGACAAAAAAAGCTCCCGGAGTACATAGTTTGCTACCATTCTCTTTAATGTTCTACAAACCTTTCCCAACTTTATCCTTAACAGCATACCAAGCTCAACACCCAAAGACTCTAAATAGTTCAAAGGCTCCGTCTCTCCGGCAAGCTCATGCACCCTATAGGAAAAATCTCTCTCTTTATAAAAAAGAAATTAATGCTAGAAATACACTAAAATATGGCACAAACATAAAGCCATTCACTGCAGCACCATCACTAATAATAAATATTTAAAAGTAATCAAGGGGTTTGGTAGGTGACATGGTGGTTAAGGTACTATACTCCCACGTGGCAGACTGTGTTCCTGGTGGTTGCTTTCTTGCTTTTCCTCTCCTTTCCTCCCTCTCCCCCGCTCTCGTGAGAGTACGTGCACTATAGAAAATTAATAATAATAAATGAAACTAAATAGACAATCCCTTTAAAAAATTTTTAAATAAAAGTAATCAATGAGACCATCAGATGAGGAAATGGCTGGACTCCCGTGTAGTCTACTGTGGTTCAAGTGCTGGACCTGGCAACTTCAAACTCATGCCAGGTGCATGTGCATGACTGCTCAGGATCTCGAGAGGAGAATGGAGGAGAAGGGACTGCAGTGTGGCCATCTCCCCTGGAGGGTGATGTCTCACTTTTGTCTCACACATGCCCTATAGCCAAGATCTCTCTTAAAAAAAAAAACAAAAAAAAAAAACACCTAAAATGTCTTTTTCAATTGCCAGAAGAGCCCTGCACTCACCAAAGAGACAGAGCAAGAGAAAGAAATAGCAAGCCACAGTGGGGCATGGTCATGCTGCGGTCCTTCCCCTCTACTCCTCCAACCTGTTGGGATTTGGGACACACACACGCACACACAGAGCATGTTTTTGAAGCCAGCAGGCCGGGATTCAAACCGCAGTCAGACACATGGGATCCAGCTGCCCCACCCACTAAGTCAGAGCTGGCCTCAAAGTGCCTTTTAAGAGCACGAAGTTGAGCATAGTATATCCGTTTAGTGAACTACTTAATAGACTTTAAAGAGTAGGGAAAATATTTAAATACTGATATAGAAACATGTTTAAGAAACTAAATTGACAAAAAAAGCTCCCGGAGTACATAGTTTGCTACCATTCTCTTTAATGTTCTACAAACCTTTCCCAACTTTATCCTTAACAGCATACCAAGCTCAACACCCAAAGACTCTAAATAGTTCAAAGGCTCCGGTTATGGATGGCAACCAGTACAGATGGGAGCGAAGAAAACATACCAGGTAGGTGGGCATTGCAGAGAGAAGGGGAGGAAAAGGGATCGCAGGGTGACTACCACTGGGGGGTTCTCCCTCCCTCTCTGTTTCTCTCTGGCAAGCAATATCTCCTCTAGCAAATGAGGTGCAGTCATGCCACAACCCCTTCTCCTCCATTTCCCCATCCTTTCGGGACTTGGAACACACATGCACATGTGTCCAATATGTTTTCAAGTAGCCAAGGCCAGTACTCAAACTGCAGTCAGAGCCAGTCACAAGGGATCTGACTCCCTTGTGCATAGGGCTCAATCGCTGTGTTACGGGCTGGCCCCCGACAACTTGCAAATGAAGTTAAAAATAAATTCTACTTAAAAATACAGAAAAGCAATGAACTATTCAGAAATTAATTTAATAAAAGACATGAAAACATCCTCAGTGAAAATCAGAAAACAATGTTGGGAGAAAGTAGAGATGTATAGGTTGATGTATTTTTCCATGTTTTACTATGAAAAAATGGCTCATGACTTTTCTCTGTCTTTTTTTCTTTTTAGAGGGAGATTTTTACTACAGGGTGTGTGCACTCACCAGAGACAGAGAGAGAGAGAGAAAGTAAGAAATCACCCCCTAGGGGCATGGCCATGCCACAGTCCCTTCCCCACTCTCCTCTAGGATTTTGGGTGGGCATGCATGCACACACACCCTGCATGAGTTTTAAGCTGCTGAGTCCAGGACTCAAACTGCTGTCGACTACATGGGAGTCCAGCGACATAACCATTACGCTGTCCTGCGTCATGACTTTTCTGATGACAGAATATGCCATGCTCGTAAGTCAGAACTAGCTGAAAAATGTTTACCGCAAAAGGTTAAACAGCAAATATTTAGACTTCGTGAACCAAACTGTCTTGGGCGCAACAATTCTGAGCTGTGGCCCCGTACAGGAGGTGAGCATGGCTGTGTTCCAACAGAACTTGATTTACACACGCAGGCATACACTCGATTGCCCCATGAGTCATCGTTACCAAACCCTGGGGCAGAAGACTGAAAAAAAGGGCCAGCCAGCAGCGGTGCTTAGGCGGTTGGGTCCCCCATGGCCGACTATGCAGTTTGAGTATCACACTTTGTAGCTTAATAAACACACCAGGAGTGTGTGAGTGCACGCCCGAAATCCTAAAAGGAGAGAGGGAAGGAGAAGGGATTGCACGGTGACCCTCTCCATTCATTCCCTCTTCCCTACTAACCAGATCCTGGTTTGGTCCGGTGCTGTCACATGCTTGGCTGTAAAACAATTTCCTCGTCTGGCCTCACTGCAGTTCAGAAAAACCGCATGATCCCATTCCGGCCAATGAGATGTAACAGAAATCTACCATTGAACATCTCTGACAGAAGAGGGACAGGCCCAGCTGGCACACCCCTCTTGCCCTTTCCCTCTTCTCTGCACCATGGCTATGGTGCAGCAACCACTTTGTGGCCCGGAGGATCGAAGAGAAACTAAAGATGGCCGGACTGGAAACTAGCAGCACATTTCCTTGGGAAATGAAACCAGCCTTTCTGAACCACTTACAATGAGAGAATAATCAAGTCTTGAACTGGTTGAACTGGTTAAGTCACCAGGGGTTCTGTTACATAGAGACCAATGCAATCTTCATACAATGATCAATATAATAAGTGAAAAATATGCACCGTTACTATTTACTGATAACTAAATTAATGAACCAATCAATTCAAAAGGAAAACCAATGGAGAGCCTACCTTCACGGCAGTGTTTGGCTTCATGCCACATCGGTAAGTCCTCGCTGTCTGTGGAGTCAGCTGGATCTCCTTGGTGAGCTGCCTCCACTTCCTGCACTCGGGCTTTGTGCACTGCACCTACACGCAAGTGACAGGTCAAGATCAATAAATGGGCTAGTTTTGAGCTCCTGGTACCACCCTCCACGCTCATTCACTCTGACGTATCTTCCACGTGATTTGACCAACTTCTTAGCAATCCTAGGTACTTCTCTCCCTCCTATCACTACTAATCATGTAATCCATTTTTATCCCTTCAGCGTAGTCGGAGTCAACACTAGCTCAGGCATCAGGAAAGTACACAGATCTGAACGCTGCTGTCAGAAAGATGTGCCAGCTCTAAAGTAAGGAAGAAACAGTTAAAATTACTGGGTCATCCGAACAGTCATAACACATTTTTTCAAAGACAGAGAAAAATCCATCATGACTTTTCCAATGACCAAACAGTTACAGGGCCAGCCTGTGGCCTAGTGGTTAAAGTGTCCGGATCCCATCTGGCTGACCATGGGCTGAGACCGAGATCCAGTGGCTTGAAAAACACGATGGGGGGGGGGGGGGCAGAGAAAACTGTTGGTTT